TGTAATTGGCATAAAGCAAAGCACTGCATCCCTCTTGCATCAGTTAGAAAGTCTCCTTGACTTTGATTAATTTGAGCAATATTCCAGCAATATCACGGCGGGAGACACCAGAAATTGGCTTCACACATTGTACCCATGTCGGGATGTATTTGTAGTGATCGAACATGGGTGAGTGAGTGAGTATGGTTTTCGCCGCTTTTAGCAATATTCCAGCACTATCACTGGCGGGGGGCACCAGAAATTGGCTTCACACATTGTACCCATGTCGGGATGTATTTGTAGTGATCGAACATGGGTGTGTGAGTGAGTATGGTTTTACGTCGCTTTTAGCAATATTCCAGCACTATCACTGGCGGGGGGCACCAGAAATTGGCTTCACACATTGTACCCATGTCGGGAATCAAACCCGGGTCTTCGGCGCGGCGAGCGAACACTTGAACCACAAAGCCTCCCAACCGCCCCAGATTGAACATGAATGCCTTGAAGACAGGTAGGTCTAAAAATGTAATACTGTTATTTTCTTTTGAGAAACGATAACAGCAAATGAAGGGAAGATGACAATGACATGACATTTGTGTGCTACTGTATTAATATTTATAATCGCCCTGTTCTGCGGCGCTGTACTTCTACGCGCCAGTTGAAGTTATAGCGAACCCAAAACTCAACTCGCGGCAACGAGGCTGCTCGAGTTGCCTCCCCTTCCTCAACAATAATGTTCTGTTCGGCAAATGTCATTCGGGACCAACTCCTGTTATTCCGGGACAAGCCGAATAGCAGGTTACGGAAAGAGGCGAGTGGTGAGGAATGCGGCAAATGTGTCGTTTCTTTACACCCTGTGTTTTACGTCATATTTGTGTTCTTCGTTTCGGAAAGGAAAACTTGTGATTTGTCGTACAAAGAATGGTGGGGAATTCAGCAGTGAGCTTCACCCACGGGCTTGTCAACATGAGTACGCGAGGAATCGAACCAAAGCCTTTTGCGTGACGAATGAACGTTCTAACCACTAGACTATCCCAACTTCGCCAGATGTTTCTGTAGCAATTTTCACGAACCACGACAGAGAGTATGTCAGAACTCAGAGCATTTCAACGTCTGAAAGTGTTCCATTCAGGTTAAGGCAGTGCGATGATGCACACGTAAAATATCTTAAGCCAATCACCTTCTACTAAGACATAACCAACATTTAGAATGGTTTGTTTGTTGTTAAACGCCGCACTCAGCAACATTCCAGCTATATGACGGCAGTCTCCGAATAGTCGAGGATGGTCTAGACAATCCATTGATTGACATCATGAGCATCGTTCTGCGCAATTGGGATACGATGACATGCATCAACCAAGTCGGCGAGCCTGACCACCCGTTAGTCGCCTCTTACGACAAGCATAGTCGTCTTTAACGACAAGCATGGGTTGCTGGGAGCTACTTCCAACGCGGGGCTTGTCCATAGTGGTTTATAAAGTATCTGTGCTACACACTTCCAAAGCATGTCATATATTCGAGTAAGGTATAATACAAAAGCGACATATTGTGTTTGAGGCCATTGTAGGTGTTCCCATATTCAGATCCAAAACCCAACCAAGACGTGAGTGAGTGAGTGAGTGAGTGAGGGGGTAGGTGGGTGGGTGGAGTGAGTGAGTGAGTGAGTGAGTGACCCACGCCTGAGGCACGCTCCTCTACACATGGAATTGCGGCGCCTTAAACACCTGGGCTACCTGAGTGGGTATTGTTTTACGCCGCTATTGGCAATATTCAAGCAAAAACACGACGGGGGATATGGGCTTCACACATTGTACCCATGTGGGGGATCGAACCCGTAAGTTCTGCGTGACGAGCGAACACTTTAACCACTAGGCTACCCTACCGCCCCACTCATCACACTGGACTGCATGCCGTCTACTCAATATGTTCGCTAACACCAAACAGTTCGCGTTAAATTTTGTCATGTTAGAATGTACGTTCGGTTTCAAATTCAATTTAGCGCTGTTAAAACTATGTACAGGTAGCGTAGCTCTATTTTGAACACATAGTGTGTTAATACTCATATTGGAAAATATCTAATAATTGTCTTACCGATATTTCAAAGTTATCCGTAACTTTATACACTGACATTTCCAGAGAGCCAACAAGTGCCCTTGGCCTCACCTCATAATTAATAAACAGGCTGCATACAATGTTTAATATAATAATATATATCAATGTTCGGTTAATTCACATCCGAAGCCTCTTTAATGAAAGAATGGTAAATTAAACAGTTTAGTGCATAAGTTAGTTTCCAGAGGCACGTGTCATGTTGTTCAAATTTACGTCTAATATATTAATAAAAAAATCCAAATATTAGCGGAGACTTTCCAAAAGGACCCACGCAAAATATAATGACTTGACATCCGTTGACTGTTCATATACTGACATGAAACACTCATAAAATCCTCATGACAGCACAAGGGATGATGTCGGCAGTCATCATGATTGTTTAAAAAAATATAATTGAAATCCGTAGAGAGGTATTGAAATGTAAGATAATTCATTTCCCTAATAGATCAATTTCTTCTTTTTCATTTTCTCAATGAATATGTATTCATATTTCGTTTTAGAAATCCTATGTGACATTTGCTTTAGTGATATCTTCCACGCGACATATTGTAATGGATGCGTTGAACAAAGAACTCTACTGAACTTTTGTGGAACAAACCGGAAACTGGTGACATTATGCCGTCGAAGAGATTTTATTTTTCTTTGCATAAAAAATATGTTGCGAATCTTTTAACGAAATGAACAATATAATAGAAAAGAAGGACAGTTCAGCGTTCCGCAGCGACGGAGAGTAAGGTCGTGTACAATGAATATTTGTGAATCAAAGCGTTGATGGAGACATTCATACCCAGAGTTCCATGCGGCCAGCACAGTACCTCTGTCACAGGCCAGCGTCTGATTTCAGAAAAAGCGCGTTTGTTTACCAACAAGAGAATAGTCCGGTCACGTGGTATGCAAATTAGCACGTGGCAGCGGTGTTATACTGAGCCACCACTGCGCGTGAGTGTGAGAGACATTCAGCAGATGTTCTTAGACTGGTTCCATATCCTATTTGCAGAACTTCATGTGGGACTGGGTAACCGTCTACAATGATCTGAACAGATCCTCTTTGTACTGACCATAAGCTGTACAGTTTTGTATTGAAGATGTAGCGAAATATCCGGTGGTGATTGGGAGCAGATTCCTTGTTCGCATAGAATGGATTGATTGCATAAAACTACAAATGCTGGTCCAGTTAGGTCTTGAGGAAATAATTATTTCGGAGATAATACTACGCTAAAATATGCACCTTACAGTCAACTATATAAAAATGAAACGAATAATTAACTTGTAATAATCAGAGCATGGTCACAATCGACACGCGCAGTTTACCGAACGGTGTTGCTTCACATACGTGTATGATATCGTGGTTTAAGATAAGATAGTGCTTTATAATACTTTTTTGCCTGTAAGGGAATCTTTTTTACACCAGAGCATCACAAAAACTCATTTAAAATACACTCGCAACATGGAACATACAATATTGACAGCATGAAAACGTTTCAAGTTGAACTAGACAAATGCTGCAGATAAGGGCTTCGAAAGTTTAAAAATAAAATGCTTTAACATGTGTTTGAAAGCGACATGCTGACTGGGATAAAAGAGGTATTGGGTCGTTTAGATTTAACTTCGGAATGAGATATATCTTCGTCATGATGGTAAAACAGAATAACTGAAGTTTAAAAAAAGATGGGTCGTCTAAAATTCGTGAGGCTAAATTAACAAAATTCTTTTCATACAAGACATCAAGTTGCTCACATACAATCTTTCCTCCCAATCTTTCGAATCTCTGATGCATCTGGGTATGTGTCTAGGTTTGTCAGCACGGTGCTCGGCGGTTTCACCAAAGTGGTAAATGTATCGAGATCTGCATCACTTCGAGCTTTCCTCCGACATGAAGCTGACACGCTCAACCTCCCACACCCTGATATATATCTGAAACAGTGCTCAAAGAGACGTTAAACAAACTCATAATCGATCACAGGCCCTTAAAACCACAGAAAATTAAAGTAGTCTACAGAATGATGTTGACAACTTATCTTCTTTTAGTTTTATTGCTTTATGACAATCACCAGGGCGTTGCATCTTAACCTGTCTTTGATCCATGTAAACTGTCGTTATTAACTTGATCTCTCGTTTTTTGCCTTCGGCAAGACATCAATAGAAGTGTTAATATGCCGCTGCAAATTATAACAGTGTATATAATTGTTTAAAAAATGTTATGATATTGCTGAAGAAGGAATTTTGATGACAATGAAATTATTTACTCGTACACTTATTATATTTACTTTCGAAGTTTTATTTTAAATAAAACTTGGAAACCGATAATGAAAGATTCAGACACAGCTACTGTATTGATTTTTGCAAAGAAAAATATTTAGGGACGTCCAAATATCCAGTTGAGCGTAATATTCTGTAACATGTGTATAATTCACAATCTATAACATGTGAATAAGCAATATGTCACGTGACATAAAGCAGACAGGGGTTTATTGGTAAGAACTTCTTCATTTACTGTTAGAGTGACGTTTCGGTACAGATCCCTTTCCCCGTTGTTAAGCAAGACTAAATAATGAATATGATACAGAATTAATGCAAACAAATGTTCGTCGAAACAGTAAATGTGAAATTGTTCCGAATATATGTGGAACTTCAGTTGTGTGCATAAAATGAACTTGCTGTGAACAACTTTAATTTTTTTGTCGAATATTAATGTGATTATAATCTTTGCTGATTTTCGGTCTCTTGTTTCAACAAACATCTGAGCTAAACGCCACATCATTCATGTGACCGCTGAATAAACCATCATCACGCATGAACGGATGTGTGACTTCTTTCAGCCGCTTTATGACGGTGGAGTAATTAACACGTCAACAGAGGTTACTATAAAATCATAGCATGAATACTAGTCGTACGCCATATAGCACCTATAGCGCCGTCTGTCGGACGTTCAGACAACTTTTCTAAGTTTGGAGTGAAATTGATACCGCAATACAGATAAACATGTCTACGATAAACAAAGTGGACATGTCACTTGGTATGTATGGAATCTTAAATGTTGTGTTTGGTTGATATAATAAGCAAATTCGAAATACAACCGTTCTTAGGACAGTTGATGTCTGAAATATTCTCAATTCGTGACATGGCCAAGTGCCCAACTCAAACTCGCTTTTTTACTTCTGCCAGTTCTGGCTTCAAAGTTTGACATTGTTTTCGCCCCCCTCACCACCACATTGATAGAAAATGTAAGCAAATTAAGTATATGTAAGTAAATTGATCATGTGTTTACAGTGTATATTAATTTCATAAATGCAACTGAGGTGATATTTTTAGTCTGGCCAGTTAAACTCTATTCCGTGACGTTGTCTGAACATAGCAGGCAGGCATTTTATGTTCGTTTATTTCTCACAGAATGACAGTTTAACCGTAAACTTAGCATTTTAAAAGTGTTTGCAATCGGTGGATCTGTATATCATAGGGACATCTTGTTTTGATAACTGGTGATTTCGACAACGTCACCAATTTTTAAGTCAGTGCTCAGTCTCAATAGAGCAACATGTTGTTAGGATCAATATGTGAAAATCGTTAGACAAGAATGCCCCCGACAGTCATTCAGACATAGCTGTTGCCGTTCTCAATAGGTGTACCTGGTGAAGGAACATTTGGTAGGGGTGAACAGCCTGTGTCCACACTAAGACAGGTGGCCGTGTCAAAAGCAAGGGGACATTTGGCTGACATTGATTTTTAAGAGACATGGACTAGACTTACCATTCACCTTGAATACCACATAATTCATTATGTTTGAAATCTGAATGACATGTGGCAACAGTTGGTAACATACAGTGACATATTTAAGAATATATGTATCTGGATCTGCTCAAAGGCACATATTTGGTCCCAAGACTAGAGACATGGCAGTACAAATTCCCAAATTGGAATAACAAATTTCACAATTCATGTTATAGTTATAACCATTGATAACTGTCCAATATTGTAGCTTTGTGGAGGTGACTTGGGTATGTCACATATAACGGGATCTATACAGATGATCAAAAGGCTTTCACTACTTCATGGAATGCAATGTTAAAATACATCCTAATTTGACAAAATGAGAATTTTCATAAAACTCCCAAGTTTGAAAAAAAGGAATTGCCTACCAAGGGCACATAGTTTGGAATCCTGGAGAAATTCTGATGTACAACTGTTTTCACCATTTTGATAGCCATGCCTCAATAAGTACCCTAACTGTCGCCCAGAATACCTTTAAGATAAGAATTGATACTTTTTACTTTGTGTGCGATTGTGATGGATACTTGTATTAAGAAGTCAATACATCACTATCCACCAATGCGTCAGTGTATCGTCCCACTACTGATGACTTCGAGACCAAACTGTAGGTAATTGTTACAAGCACCTGTGATTGACACTGAACCTTATGTGACTGTCCGTAGTGTGTTGTGTATAATCCAGTTTTGTTTTTAAAAAATCTGGCTGGGTAGACATGGTAGAAGGGGTATATACATGATATAACTGCCATGTAAATATTATTAAAACAGTTTTTTGATCCATCAATGTGTCAATTAATTAATATACTACCGCCAAATCTCTCACAACATATTTAACTTGCTGTTTATCATGTTGTTGGTTTTAATAAGCATTCCAATTTGTCAATTTTCTAAGCACCCAGGATGCTTATGAAGGTGAATACGGTATAGAAATAATTGTGTTGTCAATCATATATATACTCGGCAATCAATAATCATTTATTTGGCCCAGCTGTCTAAGGCACAGCAAAGTCTGTGCGGAGTTACGTCCCTTGGGTACGCCAGAAACCTATGTTTGCCTCAGTTACATTTTATGGGTTTGTCAGCACCCTACCTGTGCCTGTGGGTTTCATCAAAGTGGTAAATGTCTAAGACCTGCATCACTTCAGCGTTCCTCAAACATTCAAGCTGCAGTTATTCCCAGTGGTTGGGGCACGGATGGCCCAGTCGTCTAATGCGCCGCGATACGCTGTGCAGATTTGCGTCCCTTAGGCACACCAGAAACCTATGATTGTGGATTCGAATCCTGATTGTTTCTAGGTTTGTCAGCACCATAATCGTGCACGTGGGTTTCACCGAAGTGGTAAATGTCTGAGACCTGCAGCACTTCAGGCTTTCCTCCCACATTAAGCTGACACACCGTAATATAACTGGAATACTGTTAAAAGCGGCGTTAAACCCAACTCACGCACCCACTATTCCCAGTCATGATATTAGCACTTAGGTTCACTAGCTGCTTAATGTCTTCAACAGTGTTTATATTGCAAGGATGGATCTGGACCTGCTCAGAGGCCAGTATTCAGCCCCGAATCTGAAACAAATGTCAGTAAAGATACCCAAATGTATGCTCAGAGAAGTGCAGAGTTAAAAAGCAATGTAACAATACCTCTGAAATAAAGAAAACGAACAGCAATTTTTCATCTTGCCTTGCAAGGACACTTAGTTTACAGTGAGTGAGTATGGTTTTACACCGCTTTTAGCTATATCGCAGCGGGGGACACCAGAACTTAGTTTAGAATGGTAGGTAAGTTCCTGACTTGAAATGGTTTTTTTTCTGTTCCAGATGACATCATTAAACTCAACAAGAAGCAGAGTCGCGGTGGTCGAGGTCGAGGTCGAGGCAGCCTGGGTCGGGGGGCCAACAGAGGACGAGGAGGGGGAGGAGTCAACAAGGTGAAGCAGTTCCGCACTAATCTACAGAGAGGAGGAACGAGAGGGCGTGGTGGACGTGGCCGGCTGCGGAGACTGTCAGGAATTAGTCCCCTCAATAGATCACAGGTAGTTTTGATGGTTTTGCTGTTTCCAAGTATTCATGGTTTGAATTTGTCCCCAGCATCCTATGCTGCTTGTAAGAGGCGAGCAGATGGATCGGATGGATGGGATGGTCATGCTGGGTGACCTGCTTGATTGTTTGTCATGGTTCCTTGTGGTGTGGATCGTTGTTCATGATATCAATCACTGGATTGTCTATCTCAAAATTGATTATTTAAATGCTGCCTTCATATATGAAAAGGCAACGTTAAGCCTAGGGTTGGGACGATACACCAACTGTGTGATCTGTTACAAATCACAATATCCTGCTCACAATCGATACGTATCACGATACTTGCATGTGCTCTTATCAGGTGTGCGTATGCCATCTTTTTCATAGACAGGATGGCAAAATACCTGGCACACTAACGATTTACTGTTGGCAGTGTCAAGTATGGCGCAATGGATTAATATGTATGTTTTCACTTCTCATATTCACTTGTAATTAGTTTATTAAAGAATACATTCAAGGTTAGAATCGATACTTTTTACTTAGTGTGCGATTGTGATCGATACTTGTATTGAGGGGTGTATCGTCCCACTACTAGTTAAGCCACACGAAAAATAAACAATAACCCTTTTGAGTAAACAGTGATGCACTGCCCTCTGGTGGATTGTGTGTCGTCCTACATCAATGATGTGGATTGTTGCTCATGCTCATGATTGTAGCTGGAATATTGTTGACTGGAGCATTAATCAACTGTCACTCATAACCAGTGTCTGTGCATCTCTTCTGAATATCCTTGTGCACTGCTCACTGACCATCATTGAAATAGTTGACATACATTTCTTAGTAACAACGACCCATGCAGATCGTGGGTAGAATAGGTCTTCAGTAACCTATGCTTGCCATAACAGGCGACTATGCTTGCCATAACAGGCGACTATGCTTGTCATAAGAGGCGACCAACGGGATCAGGTGGTCAAGCTCGCTGACTAGGTTGATGCATGTCATCGCATCCCAATTGCGTAGATCGATGCTCATGGCGTCAGTTACTGGATTTACAGACCACAGTTGTATTGCTGGAATACTGCTGAGTGTGGCGTTTAACAAACAATCTTAGCAACAGCAGTCTCAGAGTCCTGTTCCTCAAAGTGACCTTAGCACTATGACTTTCCATGTCAAAGTATGGGATTTATGATCATCTTAGTGCTAAGCTCAGTTTGTGGAATGGAGACCTGATTCCCTTATCAGTTTTTCAAAGGTGACAGCTTACTCATATATTTTGCCTTATATCACATCTTTCACGGAATTTCAGGAGCAAAGTTTAAAGAATTCATTAAGCCCCAAGTCGAGTAGAGGGGGCAAGTTCAATCAAGGTCAAGGTCAAGGTCGGCAGCAGCAACAACAGTCTTACAAGCAGCAGAGGCTAAAGGCTGTCTTAGCCCTGAAGAAAGCAAAGAACCAACTCGCTCGAATAGACGCACAGGCAGCCAATAGACAGAATCTCATCAATCAGCGACGTGGTCTTCAGGTAAACATTGGTTTGACAAATATGCTGGTTAACTGGTCAGATGCTTGTGAAGGTTGGTCCCGTCTAGTCAGCACTTTACATATCTCACCCATCTGGAACTCCTGTGTATGTTGTGTTTGTGACTAGGTGGATTGGAAGGTCAGCCTTGATGACTTGGTTGATGGCGTGTCATCGGTGTCTGAAATAATTGCTTGCCCGCCTGCCTGTGGCTGGTAACTTTTCTGTTGGGCTGCAGGAAATTTTCTTCCACCTGCTCGACATTCTGGCAGCTCATTTTTAGTCTAATTACATGTTCAGTTTTGTAGATGGTCGAGTATTTGTTTGCCTTATTTCAGCCGAATCAAGATGCAATTTGTCTCTTATTTTGCACGATTTTTCAATATCTATATTGTCTGAATGTGGAGGGGCAACTTTGAAGATGGGCAGGCAACATTCTTGGGTCACCTGATGGACTGTCTTGTAGAGTTTTGAAATTATTTTAAACACTGCGTTAAATGTAGTGGTCTAAAAAAAAGTGGGGGTCACAGAGAAATGTCACAAAATGAATACAGAACCCCAGTGACTTAAGTTAAGATGGTCATGCTCCGAGGCTGTTAGTTAAATATATATGCTACTCCACTTTGGATGAGGATTTCTTTTTATTTCTGTGATACGCAGATGATTTTCTTAATGTGTCAAGGGTATATTTGAATAGGATGACATGTCTGAAGTCCTGTGAAGATTCAGGGTTTGAATTGGTCTTGTCATAATAGGTGACTAACACATGTAACAGGGTCGGGTGGTCAGGCTCGCTGACTTGGTTGATGCATGTCATCGTATCACAGCGGAGATCAATGCTCATGATGTCAATCACTGGATTGTCTGGTCCAGACTCGATTATTTACAGACTGCCGTCATAGAGCTGGAATATTGCTGAGTGCGGCGTTAAACAATGTCTGATTATCCTTATCAAATGTTGAGTAGTACATATTTGGTGATCCCAGTGGCTGCTCTCGGTATTTTGTTTGTGTCAGTTTCAAATGTTTATGTATATAGGAATTAGGATAGAGGATTTTGTGTCCATTATATCTATGGTTGTATGTCTCTCTGAAGACTTTCCGTGTCCACAGTCCAATGCTGTGGTAATATTTGCATCAATATTCACAATTCATGTCTCTTTCAGACATCATCATCACAACAGCAATACCAAAATACAAATAGGGGCAGGGGTCGTGGAAGGGGTCGAGGTCGAGGTGGGCGGGGCCGTCTCAACCGACAGAACTACAATCCAGGGAGTGGTAACAGAGCACAGAACCAGGTGGATGTTGCATCGTATGGGTTCACCAATCAGACCGTGAGTCGAGGGGGAGGTCGAGGCCGTGGCCGACTACGCCGTCTTGGCAACACCTACAGCAGCAACTTGTCCCTCAACTCCTCCATGTCCAGTGGCAGTGTGCAGAGGAAGAAGAGGCAGTAAGTAGCGGCCATTGCAGGGACAATTGGCAGGGATTGATTAAGACTTTCTGATGTCCAAGTCTGCTGCAAGTGCCGGTAAACTTGCCAAATGGGAAGAAGGAACTTACCTCTTTATGTTAATGTAGTGACTACTAATGTGATGGCTTGGTCAAGATGACTTGTATTGCACTGATAAAAGTGACAATTATTACAGACAAAATCCCGCTTCATGCATTATGCAATGGAGTAGAGTTTAGGTAAAGGTGATGCTGCATTGGATCAGTAAATATAAGATAGCTACGCTATAAATCGCAAAGAACAATGAAGAACGAAGCATGGTTTATTTCAGGATAAACCATTGTTCTATCGTGACGTCGTGTCTGGAGATTTGTCATAAATTGGATGACATTATTTTAGAGGGAAGTGTCTAGAGTGAGATGTTCCCCATAGATGTAGCTGGACAACTCAGATGAACGCAATGACCGAATGATCGCACCCAAAATTGGGAGACAATCAAATGGTATTGAGAGAAAATGTGCAGATAATCAACGTGAAATTTGTTAGAATACGTAACTTAACCCCCCGGTACATAAAATGGAGTTGTCAGACTGCAAATACGCTGCTTATCTGGAGTTCTAGTGTCAGTTGAAGGTGTTGTACCTGGATCCGCCACAACGTGCATTTAGTATTGGCATGTGCATGTTGGTAGGTAAATGAGAACTGAAGCGTGACATTCTTTCCTAAGCTTGATTAATTGATTAATTTTCAGATGGCGCAGTCGTCCTATCCAAGCTCCTTCATCACAGAATGATGGAATATTGACAATCTCCGTACCAAATCCTAGGTAGGTTTGACTATGGGTCAGTATGGGTCATCAACTGGACATCAACCAGAACACTATGTCTGAAGGTAACACTAACAGACTTATGCTTTGGCAGTCTACATGAAATTAACCTTTATCTGCAAGTGATTAGTGAACAATTGTTTCTGAAAACTCGAAAAGCATTTGTGTCACCATTTCCTTATCATCTTGACTGTGGCTGTATGTTCTCTACATGAGCCTTGCTCTGAACTCCGGGTCTGTGATGTAGCCTTGCGATTATAGTGTTCTATGGTCAGGATACTTCTAACATAAGACAATTGATTTCTATGCCTGAGTTTTCCAGGCCCAGCCTGAATTGCAGACTGCTTTATATAGCTGGACTACTGCCCACACAACACATGCAAGTCATAATGGGTGACTAAATGGATCGGTTTTGTGGAGATGGAGGCTCATAAAATCAATAACTGGATTGTCTGGTCCAGACTTGCACCATCATCATGTCACTGCAAGAGTATGGCGTCAACAAAACAAATACAACTTTCTTGCTCTTGTCAGAAATGCTCAGAACATATCCTTTCATTTCTTTTTGTGATGAGACTTCCTCCGTGGTGTAGTGGTAGAGCATCCGCCCTGGAGAGAGGAAGGTCTGGGTTGCAATTCCTGGCTGGTCGTACTAAAAGACATTAGAAGATGGTACTTGTTGTTACCTTGTCTGGCGCTCGGCATTAAGGGGGCTAAAACAAGGACTGGTCGACACGGAGTCAGTATACTGTGTCTGAGTGGGGTATTCATGTTAAACTGCGGCATGGTATCTCAGTGAGCTAGCACTATAAATCGGCATCAGTCCGGACTAGTACAAGCAGCCACACACACATGCACTATAAGTGTGTGCTGAATAAGTGCAATAATCTTGGGCGTGATGTTAAACTCCATTTCACCTCACCTCACCTTTTTGTGATGAGTGTCAGAGTGGCCAGTGTTGAGATGTTTCTACTGAAGTTTTATGAATATTTCGTCTCTTCTCTAACCAGTCTCACTTTGCCTTCCAGCTACCAGTCTACACCACAACAAGAATCGGTAAGCCACATGGATCATGATATATATGCCTACAAGACATTTTCAAGTTTGTGTAACATTAAAGTAAGATTATGCTCAATGTTGTGCCTATTTTCTGCCAAGGTCCAGTTGTAATAAATACCTATAAAAAAATCTGTCATCTGATGTCACTGATTTCACCGATTTCACGAGTGATTTGTTGACCTACATTTAGGGAAATGGGAAATGATGTTGACAGTAACCATGGTTACCAACTCTTTCACTTTTGGCTTTACAGTCCAAGAAGTATAACTACAACAAGAGGCTCTTCGCTCAGTCAGGGGTAAGTTATGTGTGTTTACACGTGTACTTGACTGCCGCCGTGGACAAGTGCATAGAGCTTCTGTTCAGAGAGTGAGGGGGCACGGGTGGCCCAGTCGTCTAAGGAGCCGCGATTTGCAAGTTTCAAGTCAATTGCCCATTGACATTTTAAGGCTGTGCAGAGTTGTGTCCCTTGGGCACGCCAGAAACCTATGATTGTGGGTTCGAATCCTGGTTCGCCCCAATTATGTTTCTATGTGTGTCAGCACCATACCCGTTGATTTCACCGAAGTGGTAAACGTCGGAGACCTGTATCACTTCGGGCACATTAAGCCGACACGCCGTGATATATAACTGGAATACTGTTAAAAGCGATGTTAAACCCAACACACTCACTCACTCATTCAAAGAGTGAATGGTCAGTGGTTCAATCCCCGTCCATCATACCAAAAGACGTTAAAGATTACTTATTTTACCTTATCCTGACTCTCACTAATTACTTTAGCATATGAGTCAGGATAAGTATAAATGATATTTTTTCTCTAGAGAATACATGTTGTTACCCGGCCTGGTGCTCGGCATTAAGGGGATGAAACAAGGACAGGTCTGCTTGGACTCAATGTGTCAATGTGTCTGAGTGGCAATCTGTGTTAAATTGTGACATGCTATCTTGGTGAGCTGGCACTATCACCTTCACCCCTCTTCACCATTGTTCAAAGTAATAGAAAAATGTTTTAATTTGTCATATTTGTAAAGGCCTATTAAACATTTCTGAATAGAACAACTAAGTATTTCTGTAAAGGAAAAGATGAAACGTTCTGATGAATTTCTTGAGTTTGAAGTTTTCTTTCTGATAATTTTAGAGGTATTAGCATGATTAGATGATCACAATGACTGCTTTGTATAAACAGGGAGGACACCAAGCTTTTTTACCTGTGAAGATTTCTGTAGGCTTTTAATATTAATATTTGTAAAGAAAACAAGGACTTCATCCAAATTTGCCTCCATCCTGATGTCCTACAAATCGGTTTGCAGAGTTACGTCCCTTGGTTGACATGTTATAATTATTTGTCTGATGATAATGTATGTGATTCTATTCACCAACTGAATACCCAATCCATGTCGCTCACTCGTCTAATAATGAATGATGTTTAATCTTTGATTCAGACCAATGCCCCTTTGAGTGAGAGGTTCCAGGATGGCTCTGGATCTTCCAGGGATGGCTCCAGACAGGTGTTCTTGTGATCCGGCAGTCGGCATTCCTCAGATGAAGGAGCTCAGGCCAAAGATGTCTACCAACAGAGCTGGTGTTTCAAGGTCAAGGCAGTTTGCAAGGTCAAGGCCATTATGAATGACGTGTGAAGCCTACAAGCATCAGTTTCTATGGTTACGGGATCACCTGATGTTCCCATGTTTTAGGAGAATGTGATACTAACGTTCATCTGATATTTCTGGGAAAGAAAATAATTTTATTCATTATGAAACATTATGGTGCTAAACTGTGAACAACATTTCCAACTTTGGCCGTTGTGTAATCTTTGTATCACTTCAAGTACCAGGAATTTTAACGCAGGGATATGAGTGATATACAGTAGGCATGCTGCATAGTGTTTGTCCTGAAGTGTTTGTTGAGAAAAGTGATGATTTTAGCATTTATGAAACTGGTTATGTTTCAAGCCATATCAGCAACTCAATCTCACTAAAATCAAATCTTTACGCCGACACGATAGCTCTCATTGTGAAGATCTCACAAAGTCATATCTCCACAAAACGTCACATAAGGGAAACTGTGACTGAACTTTGACCAGCCAGTCTAAATGAAGGATCTGTGGGTTCTTGAGCCAATCAGATGTCAGCTTTCTAAAATTATTCGTCTTTATTTCTTTACCCCTTGATTCGGATATTTCCATTTTAACCAAAGGAAACCCCAGAGAACACAAATATACCTTCAGATCCAGCGTGGTGCAGATACCACGGTGCTTAGAAATGGACTTATAAAATTTCAATAAGATAACAGTGAAGCCTTTTTTACTTCATTCTTAACTGCCTGTTCATGTTCCTTTATGAGAGAAATCTGAAATGCTGCTGTGCATGCTTTGCTTGCCAGTACCAAGAATTTAAAAGCCTCAGCACTGCTTGGCTGATAGGAAGCTCTCCTGTCTCATCCGGCTATGGAGACTGATAGCTTCACAATGAGAGGTATTGTATTGGAGTAAAAGAAATGATCTGTGACTTAGTGTTGACAGTTTTAGGAGAAGAATACTTTTAGAAGATATTTATTTTGCCTTATTTGTGAAATGTCACATCCTTTCAAGGCTTTCCTTGTTTAAAGATTTGATACAATGTATTCATGTATAAATCATGTGGTAGATTAAAGCTTAATCTCACCAGTGTTTATTTTTGAAGGATTTTTTCTTAATCATGGTTAAAAGAGAGGAAACAGGTGACCTTTTACTGTCTTTAGTCGACTCTGTGTGTAGTTTCTTAAACATGTTTATGCATTGGTTTTATTGAAGTTGATGAATTGGTATTCAACATTTTATGTACTTCACTGTTATGTAGGTTGTCAATATCAACCAGATTTTGAAGATAGCAGGATTCTGATTGGTCCTTCACAAGTATCAAATGAGAATATCATAGCTATGACGTCTCTGGTCATTCACCGTGTTAACATGTACTACAAAGAAAGTTAAGGACCACCGATACTTTCATATTATTATGGTTAATATGTCATGCCATGACAGATTAACGTTTAGTAATAAGAAAGAATCGGGTGGTTCTTTACTTTTTTGAGTAGTATTTTCCAAGTTGTTTTGTTGACATTTTAATGCTTGATATGATGTGTCTCTGTTATTCTGCACTTTTAACCCAAGATTGACAAAAGAAAGTCAGCAGACTGAAGCCATGTTGACAGTGTTAGTTCTGATAGTGGCAAGACCCCACCTTAAAATAATCATTATTCATCAATACGATCTAAGATGATGACGTTTTTCATAATGTTGGCAATGTGACTTCCCAGATATTTGAAATTGGTAAACCCAGAAGTTTGACTGGGAACAGTAGTGTTTGGATCCCATTGTATTACTGTGCTGAATGGAATATTAAAAATTAATTATTTGAAGCTTAGCATAGATGAAGGAAGCTTTTTAACAATGGAGAAATAGTCTCAATAATATGGATGTATCCTGAACGTTTCATTTTCCACCCCTGTTAAAGAAAACTTTCTGGACAAATAATGCTCATTAAAGGCAGCTTCATTGAATTAAACATGTTAGATATCATTAGTCATGAATACAATCCCAATGTTCTTCATAATCTTGGCCAAAGGGTTGTTTTGGATCGTTTCCGGATAAGATTTAGTCAGAGTGGTCTCCCTTTGCCTGGCTTGTAGTAGACAGGGCAAGTCTGATAAGATATTGATAAATCAGTTGTGAAGAAGCTTGTCTCGTTCATGGAGAGGAACCGTCATAGTTGAAGACTATTATACATTCAAACCATGAGATAAAGAAATAGTTACATGGATTTTTGTCTTGTAAGACCACTTTTGAATATTTTTAAGAAATAGCATCATATGTTTTCTTGTCAGCATAATCCATCTGCAATAAGCTCAATTTGACAATTTTGTTATGCTGTATTTTTTTCTGAGTCATAATTGGTTGTGTCCCATTACACTGGTCAGTGTCGGAGAAAGCAGGGTATATGACTTGCAAGGCCTCTTTGACCACTGACTTTCACAGCTGAAGAGAATTGCTTTCACAGGTACACTTCCTTGTGTCCTGGTTTTAAGTTCTGAAATTGGCATGTATAGATCCTAGAGCTAAAACCATGAGGAGCATGAGAAGTCAGTCATCTAAGGTCCTACAATTATTTGTATAGTTGCGTCCCTTTGGTGGTAGAGGATACGATGATTGTGGGTTTGAGTCTGAGATTGGTCTGATTGTAGTCGATGGTTTGTTAGCACCGTACGTGTGTTCATGGGTTTCACCAAAGTGGTAAACATCTAACACCTGCATCACTTGTGCTTTGCTCCCATAATAAGCTGAAAGTCTAAGTTAGAATATAGGTCCCCAGCAACCCATGCTAGTCGTAAGAGACGACTAATGGGATCGGTTGGTCAGGATTGCAGACTTTGTTGATACATGTCATCGTATCCCAACTGCACAGATAGATGCTCATGATGTCAGATCAATGGATTGAGTGATCCAGAATTGATTGGGGGGCACGGGTGGCCCAGTCGTCTAAGGCGCCTCGATTTGCTGTGCAGAGATGCGTCCCTTGTGCACGCCAGAAACCTATGATTGTGGGTTCGAATCCCGGTTCGCCCGGGCGGTCGGGTAGCCTAGTGGTTAAAGCGTTCGCTCGTCACGCCGAAGACCCGGGTTCGATTCCCGACATGGGTACAATGTGTCAAGCCCATTTCTGGTGTCCCCCGCCGTGATATTGCTGGAATATTGCTAAAATCGGCGTAAAACCATACTCACTCACTCACTCCCGGTTCGCCCTGATTATGTTTCTAGGTTTGTCAGCACCATACCCTTGCTCGTGGGTTTCACCGAAGTGGTAAACGTCTGAGACCTGCATCACTTCGGGCTTTCCTCCCACATTAAGCTGACACGCCGCAAATAACTGGAATACTGTTAAAATCGGCGTTAAAACAAATTCACTCACTCACTCACTCACTCACTCACCAACTCACCAGAATTGATTATTTACAACAGCCATCCTATTGCCAAAGGGCGTTAAACAACAGACCAAAAATACGTTAAGCTGACACGTTGTAATAGAATAGAAATTCTGTTCCAAACATTTGTTTTATTGTGTAGTACTGTACAACATGGCTTTAGGTTATAGATGGTAAAGAAACACCTACAGCAGTATGTAGATATAGAGTACATGACAGTGAAGAATAGGTCTCTGAGGTAGAATAGGTCTTCAGCAACCCATGTTTGGTCCAGACTTGATTATTTACAGACCGTCGTATAGCTGGAATATTGCTGATTGCAGTGTTAAACAACAAACAAACAAACATGACAGTGACAATACCATCTTTTGCCAGTTGTGCACAATCCTCTAAATACTGGTGCCTCAAAACAACATCAAACGTCACAAATCACTCTGCAGTAATGGGGAATTATGTCCCAGACAGGCTAGAAATCCCTTGTGTCCATCATGAGACCTGTCTTATATATACTACTCAAAAGAAGTTGCATCTTCCCATGACAAGGGAGTTAACTGACTGTAAAAGTCCAGTTTCCACCCTTGCTGAACTAGGCTCGAATTAGAGTGCCACCAGTGAGTTATGTCCCTTCAATGCCAGTCCTATTGACCAATCGGATTCCACCTCATATCACATGCATTTGCTTCAAACAAAATCGCGGCGCCCGTCAAGACGATCAGATCGATGATCAAGATCTATATTGTAATAAGGGTCTTACTTCGCGAAGTGCATCAAATCACGTGAGCACCTCAATTAGAAACATGAAAGGATGTGGAAAATATCTGTTGTTGCCTGTTGACATGCTTTACAAATCCTGTAATCGACCAAATTCGCACGGCAGTTGACAAACCGGATGTCGATTTCAATACGTGATTGGACTATGCATAGACTTGATAGTCCAGCCGAAATAGAACTCCATTAACCCAGACTTGTTCGGCAAGGGTGGAAACCAGACTTTTATGGTCCGTTAACTCCCTTGCCTCCGGAAGATGAAGAAGTTAAAGAACAACCAATTCTTTCGTACAGTTCATCTGTCATGAAAAAGATCTGTCATGTTCTCTAATGTCTTTTGAGAAGTATATATTAACAACTTATCATGCAGTGATCAGACACTTGTCATTGTACCCAATAATGTGTTAGTTTGATCTTGATAGTAACCACAGGTTCACCTGATGTTAAACATTGGGGTGCTGGGAGAATCAAAAATACATCAGTGCAAATTCAGAACCAAAAATGAAACCAATTATCTCAGAAAAAGAAGTTTCCTCTCACATTTGAAGATACATCACAATCAGTGCCTTGATAGTCATGTTTTGGGCATTCCAACAATAACATAATCACATTTCTATCATGGTTGATCAGGTTTTGATCAAATATCTTTGTCCAACTATTTTGAGTTGAACATTCTTCCATGGATCAAGGTAGTTGTGTCATGGTTTCAATACAATGAGCAGTTTATTCTATTTCAGATTAAGTTTTGATTTAAGTACTTAAAATGTTTTTGCCCTTATTGAGTGTTTACATTTCATATGATTTTGTAATATGGCTATTCATTAAAAGTAAAAAAATCAATCAAACATTTTGTTGTAATGACAAATACACATCACAAAATAAGTCACTATTTGTTTGGTCATATTTTATGTATTTTATTTCCAGTTTGATTCTTAATTTTATGTGTTTTGTGATAATTTATTTTCCATCTTTTGTTTCAGTCCATAATGTCCTGGACTAAGAGGATAGTTATTATTTATTTATTAGTCATATAGTTCCAAAGACACTACTGAATGAAATGAATAATGACAATATGAACTCACTTTCCTGCTGGAGGTCTCGTCCCAGTGTAGACATCATTATTAGTGCCCTGTGTTTGTGTGGTGTGGGGGGTGGGGAAGCCTAGTGGCTTTGGGGTTTGTATGCAACACCAAGGCCTGGGTTTCAATTCAAACATGGGTATATATGTGAAGCCCATTTCTGTTGGGATAGTGCTGGAATTACAGCTAAAAACCATACTCAAAGCTTAGAAGTCATTGTCAGTGCCAAGTGTGAAACAGAACTTAGTTATGTGTGGTTGGGTAGTCTAATGGTTAAGGTGTTCACTTATTCCACCTGGGTTCCACGTGTGAAGCCTTTTTCTTGTCAGCCCCAGCAGGTTATTGCTGGAATATTTCTGGAGCGGCATTAAACCCAACGAATGTTTCAAGTCCTAAATCAGAAGCATAATTGAACTCGGGGTAAGAAGAATGTATTATATGTACAGGTAGTTGAATGCCTCTGGTGAATCTACCACTAAGTGCCTCAATACGTTTTGATTGTTCCACCTTGAAATAATGTCAAATATCCACCACGCTGTTATGTGTTAAATTTAGTGAAATATTTGAATATTTATAATGGTATTAGATGATAAAGGTTCGAATTATCATTGTCTTCACTTTAAACTGTAAGACTAATAAATCTTTACCAATTTGGATTAATTAACTTGCCCGAATCTTTCTCAACTAATCTGTTTAGGGAAGTGAAGATTTTCTTTACTATACAGGACCAGGTGGTCCAGTGGTCCAATGCTGCATTTGCTGTGCAGAGTTGTGCCCATTAGCTGTGCCAAAATCCTCTGATCCTGAGGTTGAATGTCCCTGATTATGATCCATGGTTTATCATACTCCGTCTGATAGGTTTCACCATGTGGTAAACTTCTTCAGACTGCATCACTTTGGATGGGATTTTCTCCCACATTAAGCTGAAACAAGGTGATAGGACTGATTCATTCTGTTCAATGCAGCATGTCACCAAGTCACTGGTTGCATATCTTACAATAACAATCAGATGGGTGTCATTGTTTAATGGAAGTATCGGCATTACACAACTCTATTTCTACCTGTTCTGAAATGCTAGGTAGAGCATTATCCCTGTTAATCCTCTGGTGTCATTTTAGCAGCTCACTGATAATGTACATCACTTATGATTTCTGCTTTGAATTTCACATAATTGTAAGACTTTATTCTTGATAATGGTTTGTTAACGTTACAAATAGATTTATTGCAGGGAGGATTGAAGTTCCACATGGAAATATATTTTTTACTCCATCTGGTATTGTTGCTGTGACTAGTATCACTTTGATGTTGTAACTCTTATATTAAGGACAAGGTATGGTACCGACCATCTCTGGCCCACTGGACTGGACAAGCAGATGGTATCTCTGAAATGTGCTAAAAAAGGTCACAAATAATATTTTAGAGTATATTTTTGGTGTGTTTTCAACACAGATAGTCCATGACCCATGTTAAGGGTCATTGAAAAATTCATGTTTGCTTGCAGTGCTACTTAAGGTCTTCCTTTGAATTTTGATGAGTCAGCGCTGTTCGTGTATTATAGGCATAGATCTGTATTTGTTCTAAGTCTACTATGAACATGATGCTATCAAGATAAATAGCTTCTGGTATTTGTCAATACATTCAATCCATGTTGCCATACAATTTGTGCCAAATTTACAATTTTGCTTAATTTTGAATTTTGTCTACTTTAGTGGTCCATATAAGGTCCTTAATATACCTTGTCCTTTACTACACTGAAATGAACTTGATGAATGAGGTCTTTGATTAAGGAGGGATGTTGCTCCAGAAAATCTGTCTGTAGGGTTGTTGTCAGTTCATCCATAAATGAAATACATGTAGCGTTTGTGTACGAAGTTGAAATTATTATCTTCAGACAGACAGATGGTAGATTTTCATGTATTGTAGAATGCATATGGTCAGTTTTAGTTACATTTACAAAATGTATTCTTTCTGTATCTGTAGAGGGGTAGGGTGGACAGCCCTCCAGCACTGAGACAGGGATCTTGGGTGTCATGTGTTTTTCATCTTACATGGCTGGTTAGAGACATGACCATGTCCCTGTTTTATGATTTGTAAGTTTTGTACTCGTAACACACATTGTGTCCATTAAGATTTCATGTTGTAGGAACATAGTCATATTCATAATAAGTCTTGAAATAAACATTTCATTTCCTCAACTTTGACTGTAGTGTTGTCTATTGTTTCACTGTTCGCATCCTTCAACCTGTAGTGACTGATGGTCTGTCCAATAGTCTGGAGTGCTTCCACTATCTGTGACTGAAGGTCTGACCAGTAGTCTGGAGTGCTTCCACTATCTGTGACTGAAGGTCTGGCCAGTAGCCTGGAGTGCTTCCACTATCTGTGACTGAAGGTCTGGCCAGTAGTCTGGAGTGCTTCCACTATCTGTGACTGATGGTCTGTCCAATAGTCTGGAATAGTTCCACTATCTGTGACTGAAGGTCTGGCCAGTAGTCTGGAGTGATTCGACTATCTGTGAGTGAAGGTCTGTCCAATAGTCTGGAGTGATTCCACTATCTGTGAGTGAAGGTCTGTCCAATAGTCTGGAGTGATTCGACTATCTGTGAGTGAAGGTCTGTCCAATAGTCTGGAGTGATTCCACTATCTGTGAGTGAAGGTCTGTCCAATAGTCTGGAGTGATTCGACTATCTGTGAGTGAAGGTCTGTCCAATAGTCTGGAGTGATTCGACTATCTGTGAGTGAAGGTCTGTCCAATAGTCTGGAGTGATTCCACTATCTGTGACTGAAGGTCTGGCCAGTAGTCTGGAGTGCTTCCACTATCTGTGAGTGAAGGTCTGTCCAATAGTCTGGAGTGCTTCCACTATCTGTGACTGAAGGTCTGGCCAGTAGTCTGGAGTGATTCGACTATCTGTGACTGAAGGTCTGTCCAATAGTCTGGAGTGATTCCACTATCTGTGAGTGAAGGTCTGGCCAGTAGTCTGGAGTGCTTCCACTATCTGTGACTGATGGTCTGTCCAATAGTCTGGAGTGCTTCCACTATCTGTGACTGAAGGTCTGTCCAATAGTCTGGAGTGATTCCACTATCTGTGACTGAAGGTCTGACCAGTAGTCTGGAGTGCTTCAACTATCTGTGAGTGAAGATCTGGCCAGTAGTCTGGAGTGCTTCCGCTATCTGTGACTGAAGGTCTGGCCAGTAGCCTGGAGTGCTTCCACTATATGTGAGTGAAGTCTGAACAATAGTCTATATGAGGGTGATCTGTAAATAATCGAGTCTGAACCAGACAATCAACTGTTTGGAATCCTGAGCATCGATCTACACACTTGTGATACGATGGCATGCATCAACCGAGCCTAACCATTCGATCCCGTTAGTCCCTTGTTATGACAAGCATGGGTCGCTGAAGATCAATTCTAACTCGGAGCCTTATGGCGTTCGACGTTCCCCGGTGGGGGAATACTGTTGTCATAGCAGACACCTTCTTCTTCCTCGTACTCTGTACACACGGGGACAAGAGTATCGCAGTAAAGATCTGGGATAGAATAGGTCTTCAGCAACCTATGCTTGCCGCAAAAGGAGACTATGCTTGTCGTAAAGGGCGACGAATCGAGTGGTCAGGCTCGCTGACTTGGTTGAAGCATGTTAAAGATACCAATTGCGTGGATCGATGCTCATGATATCAATCACTGAATTGTCTGATCCAGGCTCGATTATTTACAGACCGTCATCATATGGCTGGAATATTGCTGAGTGCGGTGTAAAACAACAAACCAACCAAGCAACTCTAAAGGTGCCGTTATTCGCCGTGCAGAGTTTCGTCCCTTACGCGTGCCAGACACATGTGGTGATGGGTTTGAATCCCAGATTCTCGCTGATTACGTCTAAAAGTCCAGTTTCCAACCTTTCCGAACAATGCGGGAATTTCTGGGCACGCTCGTAACGCCAGCAGTGGCTATTGCGAGTTATGTCATTTCTATGCCCCTCCTATTGTCCAATCAGATTCCACCTCTCACGACACGATTTCCTTCAGACAAAATGGCGGCCCCAAGTCAAGTTACTTGGGAGAACATCCAGCTCGTCCAGTGAGCGGTTTATGATGTTTTCGGAAACATTTCAGGAAGTACTTTTATTAAACTCCCACCTATCCAGGACAGAGGGGCGTCCTCTCCCGTTATACAACGCTAAATCCAACTCCAGCAACCGCGATCACGTTGCTCTGACTTGATTCACACAACGACCGTTATTTTATGCGTAACGTAATGCGTTACGTCAAAATAAATGCACACCATGTTTACTGTTATAATCAAACACACTCAATACTTGAAAACCAGAGAGACAAATCAAGGCCGACAGGATTGTCGTGATATTATCGATGAATCGTCCTTGTCAAAGAAGTCTTATGAGTGAGTGAGCGGTTTTACGCCGCTTTTAGAAATATGGGCTTCACACATAGTACTCGTGTGGGAAATAGAACTCTGGCTTTCGGTGGGACGATCGAACGCTTTAACCATTAGGCTACCCTACCGCCCCATGCCTCACGATAGTGATGCCTTGTTCACGTTATCTTATTCTGGGCCGTTGAAGCGGATACAAGCATGCTGAGACTAAAAATTGCTCAGTTGTTTCTTGAGGTTACGTTTGGAGCCAAAGAAACACTGCTTACCCACAACCACAACACAACTGCCAGTCGTCTCCCTGTTCACCATTGGATACCCACATGGATCAGGTGCTCAACATTTTGGTTATCAATAATATCCGTGTGAGAAAAGGTCTTCAGCAACCCATGCTAACCGTAAAAATCGACTAACGGGATCGGGTCAGGCTTCCTGACTTGGTTGATGCATGTCATCGTATCCCAATTGCGTGGATCGATGCTTATGATGTCATTCTCTGGATTGTCTGGTCCAGACTCGATTATTTACAGACCGCCGTCATATAGATGTAAAATTTCTGAGTGCGGCGTTAAACAACACACAAACTAACAAACAAACAAACAAACAAACCCGATAGTCTTGATAACTTTAACAGAGCAGCTAGATTTTTTAAAGTTAAATATTCTTCTGATAGTTGTTGATTACGGTAGTTAAAGGGATACATTATTCTCTCTGAATCATGACAGTAAGAGAAGCATGCACTGAACATGTACACCAACGTTAACACCTCAACATTAGACAGCCAACTCTCTACAAGTGATCATTCTTTAGACCGAGTCGAAAATATCCACGGGTTTGATTTCTCGTGCGAATCAATATATTTTTTTTGTCACTGATCCAAGATATAAAGCGTTGCTCTCTGAAAGAAGGAACCCCACATTTCTTTTTTCACATTCCATGTTTTCAGGATATCCACCATACCCAGTGAACAACACCTGAAATTTCTCAAAAAATATTTTCTTTCAAAAAAGAAAAAACCTATATACAAGACAGGAAGCAACTGGTATTTATGTTTACTGAAACCTACGTTATCAACACACCACAAAACTAATGCACCAACAGGAAGTGACGTCAGCAGAAGAAACGTATTTCTTCTGCTGATCATTATTATTTTGTGGTGTGTACTAACTACTGTTTGTTGTGTTGTTTGTTGTTTGTATGTTAGCTGTTATGTTTTCCATTTATCAACTGGCGTATAAAGTAGGACACTACGTTAGAGCATCGACATCATCCCAAAATACAATCTTATCACTGGCTACAGTCACACCTTCACCATGTGTTTTTTCCTCGGTCTTCGAGGTGTGGAACTGTTCTTTTATCAAACTGACCAACCACGTGACCAGTCCCGCGACCTTAATATATTTCTGGTGCTGATACTACTCTCAGACTTGAGAAAAAGATCCAAAGCTCCCAGGTATGTTTTTTGCATTACTACATTACTATGAAAGACGATAGTTGTGAATAACATTCGTCGGTGATTGATTGCGTGAGTGAGTTGGGCGCCTGTTTGAATAGTATTCCTGCTATATAAGGTCGTGACAGCATGTAAGAAGAAAGCCCAAGTGATACAGGTCTTGGATGTTTTCCACTTTGGTGAAACACTCGAGTTGAGTATGATGCTGACCATCCATGTATCGCCATATAATCTGGGATTCGAACCCACGATTCCTGGATCCTGGCACGCCAAAGAGACGCAACTATGCAAAGTGAATAACGGCCCCTTAAACGACTGGGTCATCTGTATCCCAAAATATCCGCGGTTATGGCAAGCGGGTAGAATTGATAAGCGAAAGGCAGGGGATACGATTCTTAACATGGCAACTGTTACGATATTGACAGTATTTATTTGCTTATTTAGGTTTTAATGGAAAACAAATTGTAAAACATTTTCATATTTAGACACGCAGATCTGAGGATTTCAGTCAAGTTCAAAGGTCATCAGTACATTTAAGTTGCATTGTCTATTATAAAAAATGTGACTTAAAACATCTGTGAGAAATAAATGAGTTTCATATTCAGTGACTTCAGGATCTATTCTCTCTAACGCCATCTCTCAGATCATATATATCTTATCTTTCCTTACATTTTTTAAAATACTAGCTACTGACTGGTTAAGGAACGGGCACGTATGTTCCATGTAGCCCTCTAAGAAGTCAATCGGAACACATCCTATATAACTTGTTTATAATGAACCGATGTTTATCCGAAAGCATTGGGTAAAGGGAAGTAACTCTCTTCTTTTGCGTCGTCTGCTACGAAACTGCAGGCATATATTCCGGACCTGTATGAATGAATGTGGGAAAGATAAATTCGTTGTCAGCCGATGCCTCGGGGTATATGTGTGATCTACATTGACGACATCACGCCGTATACCCCTCGAGATCGTTGACAACTTAAAATATTGTGGTGACATGGAAATGTGGTGTGTTTTGCGGTTCTGTTGTGTTGAAGTTCATTCTGGCAACTTTGCGAATACCTGCAGGCAACTTATCATACTGTTTCGTTACATTTTACACGTGACTCATTATTGTTGATTAAAGGGATCAAGCATCTAAGCATCTCAATAAGCAATACACATTGTGATGCAGTTTAAATACTGTTTAAAGCGGTAATAAACTCACAAAAAATAAAAATGAGACATAAGGTGCAGCAATAATCACAATCATATTTCTATGAGCCGACGAACACTCCAGATTATCAGGAAGTACGTTTGTGTGAGACCTGAATTTATTAGAAAAGCTGGTAGAGTGGAACTACATCACAAGCCTGAAACACAACACTATAATTATGCATCTTTGTTTTGCAATCACATCTTGATATGGATATAAATGTAAGTGTATCTTAGAAATGTAGTCCTAAATTACCAGCCTCTCTGGAGATCCCCGGGCAGAATAAACCCCTAGTACACACACCTGTCATATGAACCAACTAAACTGCAGGTAAAAAATTTAAAAAGTACACATCTAAAAATGGATTTGACCAAAACTTTAACTTGAACTTTATCAAAAACGTTACTTGGCTGACAATGGTCCCCGAAACACTGCAAACCTAAGGTCCAGAACACAACTATGATACCCGTATCAAATACATCACCACGAATACTGGTAACCATTTCCTGTTTGTATCATCATTAGCCACAAACGAACATGGATGTATACTTTCTTTTGCCCGGCAGTGTATAGTAAGGAGATGTGACTGTTGGTGAAGGTACGACGTCGACGTTGTTTAGAGTCGTTGCGATGTCACGTGTTTGCTGACCCAATTCGACTATTCCTAGAACACCGGAACAAAGGTTGCACATTGCTTACTGCGCCGTACAACATAACTCACGCACTTCAACAAAAGCGACACAACTATTTCCATCAGAAATCTCTGCTAAAAGCAGAGTCCGTTGTACGATTCCGACTACACTAGAAACAGGTGTTTATGAATCACTATCAAAAAGTTATGATACCAGTCGTGCACTAAAAGGTGAGAAGATCCTGCCCCACTGGTGGCACCCATCACAAACACACGCAAAGAGAAGTCAATTGTTCACCCTAAAAAGCGCGGGTACATATCGTTCAAGTCAAAATAAGGAATTGCATCGGAATTCAGTTTTGTCACTGATGCGTCAAATTTGGAAATGTCCTCCACATGTCTGTCATAAAACTTTCTGAAATGTTCCACTAAGGCCTTGAATGTTGTCTGATCAAACACATTTTGAGCAAGAGTCGTATGGCGCTCTTTGTAAATGAGCAAGCCCGATTGTACCTCAAAAGTTGTGAAATGTAGACACCAAAGGAGGGAGGTGTTGGGATATTGCTCGTCATTAATCAACCGCATTCTCCCCAACAGACATGAAGGTCCTCGTCCTCGTCCTCGTCCTCAGCGTCAGCGCGGCCAATGGAGGCAACATTATTGACGGCATCAAGAACTCTTTGGAGACTATTGGTGGCGCGGTCAAGGAGACAGGGAAGGACTTCGTTCCCTTTGCTGCGACTGTGGGCAAGAACCTGCTGGGGACTCTGAAGAATGACACTGTTCAGATGGTCAAAGGTACCCTGTCTGGTAAGAAAACATAGATTCACATTGCTTATATGTGTATATGTTAGTGCTTTATTAAGCGCCAGCTTAAAGGAAGCCATCGAACGATACCCGAAGGTTAGATCACCTAAAATTACACGTGACCTAAATACTTACAATCGAGTTCTCCGTCTGCACACGACACCAGTGTTATTACAAGCTGTACTCAAGTGTAGGTATACCCCGTGACGTTAATATTACACGATGACGTAAGGCTCGTCTTAATACCGAGCGCCAGGGTAACAACAAGTACAATATTTTAACGTTTTGGGTTTGACGCGGCCTGGAATCGAATCCCGTACCTAGCGCTCCCCGGGCGGACGCCCTACCACTAGACAACGGAGACGGTGTCCATACGTTAGGCACTCTTAAAATCACACTTCATTTTCAGTATCTTTACCTTACTTAAGTTAAATATGCAGTGCATCGATGGACTCTGTGGTAGTGTTGGGCAGAACCGCCATCCTCCCGACGTACGGAATAACGTTCGGAATAACGATATTTCACTGTGTGTTGTATCTGATTCCAGATCTCATCGGCAAGGCGTTCGCTGATCTGTTCCACATTAAAAGGGACATGCCGTAAGTCAAGAAATAGAAACATCAGTATCACGTATTCGACGTAATGAGCGCCTAGGGCGCTCTCAAAGTTAGAAATAGGAGGCTCTTATCAGAATATAATTTTGTTACGAAAAAAAAACAGAGTGGAAAGATCGTAATTTTCGTGGTTTACGCCGACAGCCATTAATAATACAAAAGAAAAGTCTGTGCATATTACACACGACAGATATATTTTCTAGAATTTAATTGCCCATAATTAAGGGTGCACATTACACACGAGTGTGGATTATACACGAATAAATAAGTCTTGTGTACATTGATCAATCGGAAGGGGTGCTAATTGGGATTGTTCACTAGCCAATATATTAACAAATATCGCCTTGGGCGCTTATTAAAGCGGGGCGCCTTTTACGTCGAATACGGTAATTATTATATTTAATATATGCCAAATAAGCACTGTTACAACAGTTATTTTTGATAACCATGAAATACAATAATCCAAATGCACTTACATGATTAAAGTACATGATGGCGACACAAGGATTTTAACAGACATATATTCCTATCCTAGTTTTACCGTAGGGACTAACCATTGACAAGATAGTGTTTCAGCCAGTATACAATTCCTGCGAGAGAAGGAACAAACAATTGTTTTGGACCAAAATATCAATTACCGAATGAATACCCATCATACCAATGTACGGATATTGTCATGGCATAAAGCCTGGGAACATGGAATTAGTAGCTTTTCACAGAGCATCTCATTCGAGCATCCCACTCGAAACAATAAAAGTAAAACCGCATATTTACTTATAGCCAGGGGTGATTATTTGTTAATAAATCTGAGCCAGTTAAAGGATAAGCTGATATCATGGGTAGCGCCTAGCGGCCTATGGTACGTTGGCACCAGCCAAATCACGGTGCCAGGCCATGCGTTCCAAGTTAGTCCCCTCTTTTGACAAGCAGTAGAGTGCTGTGGACCAATTCTGACCCATGTTCCTTAGGGATTCATTACATTAATCACTCCTTCATCCTCATTTCAGCGCGATCGTGAATCAAGTGAAAACTCTGGAATCTAAGCTGACCCACCTTCTCGACCTCGGCACGTCCCAGTTCTCTGATGTCATCGACGAGGTGTTCGCAGAGATCCAGACCATCTACACCCAGCTCAAGAACCTCGAGATGCACCCCGAAGAGGCTCTCAAGAAGGTCGAGGCTCTTGTTGGTAGGTTTCATATTGTTTTGTAGGTGAGTGAGTGAATGTTGTTTAACGCCGTAGTGATTCAAACAAGGAGATATTCGTGAATATCGAGGTCATATCGAGGTTTATGAACTCATGACCTCAAGGCTTGCAATGTCTGAAATGTAGCTATAGCATATGAGGTGAAGAGAACAATGGTTTAACGTCGAGTCCAAGACTATATAATATTATATCGACTTATATATATTATGTGCTTGCGTGTTGACTGCTTGTACTTGTCCGGGATTTGTGCCGGTTTGCCGAGCTACCCAACTCTTTATCCCCTTAATGACCAGCGTCAGGCAGGGTAACAACAAGTATCATATTTTAACGTCTTGTTAGTGAGTGAGATGGGTTTAACGCCGCTTTTAACATTATTTCAGTTATATCACGGCGTCAGCTTAATGTGTGAGGAAAACCCGAAATGATGCAGGTCTCAGACGTTTACCACTTCGGTGAAACCCACGAGCAGGGGAAGGTGCTGACAAACTTAGAAACATAATCGGGGCGAACCGGGATTTGAACCCACAATCCTAGGTTTCTGGTGTGCCTAAGGGACGCATCTCTGCACAGCGAATCGCAGCACCTTATAATTAGACGACTGGGCCACCCTTGTGGTATGACGTGCCTGACGATAGAACCACCGACCTTCCGTTCTCCGGGAAGACTAGAGTCATTTACCATTTGATACGACGTTTATCAAATGGGTTTAATGCATCGATAACACTATCAATTACAAGACCACACTTTTACCTTTGTGGACACTATAAGAGTTTAAATGTCGATGACAGCTCGATTCTGTCCGCAGCCAAGCACACATCTTTGTCCAGCGAGTTCCTGCAAGCCCTGGAGAGAGACGCTACCACAATCGTCCACTCTGTGTTCAGTTTGAAGAAGCGCAACGTCATCACAGACACCCTCAGCTCCCTGGGGAGCACCATCGCAGCTGCTTTCAAGCCAGCCATCGACTCTGTTTCACAGGTATGTGATTCAGCACGTGGTTGATGTGCGGTTAAACGGACTTTTGTGCTAGCCCACTTGGATACCGCACTCATACGCGGTATATTGACAGCGAGCTGACCAGTCCTTTGTTATCCCCTTAATGCTGAACGCCAGGCAGCGTAACGCTGGCAGCGGACGTAACCAGCGACCTTCCGCTCTCCTGACTAACGCTCTATCCTCTAGACCACGAAAGCGGCCTGATTCAGAAAGACAGCATCTTCATTAAACATGTGTACCTTTCTTGGCTCTGTTTGGATAATGTTGATGGTTCTGAATTGTTTTAATTAAGTCTACTTCAAGACCCCAAGGGACGTAATTCATGTCATCGATGCTAAAACGTATCTCGAAAAATCACTTTATGATTATAAAATATAAAATATTTGTATATATATGATCATGTTTATTAAAGGTGGGGTAGCTCTGTGGTTATGGCGTTCGCTCGTTCAGTCGAAGGTCCGGGTTTGATTTTATATTGGTACCATGTGCGAAGCCCATGTCTGGTGCCCCAAAACCTTGCTTATTAAAACGTCAGTATATCGATAGCATCGGTTCATATAACAACGACTGCCGATAACCCACAAGAATTGTTTTTGTTCGATATCAAAACAAAATCTTTCAAACTCTTAAATTTCCAATTCACGTGAGTAAATCAGAGGAAGGGAATTGGCTATTTGAGTGTTATTGAACGATATCAGATCATCGATATACCCGTAGCTCAAGTTCAACTTTTTGGCCAAATTGCCTTGTTTTGATTTTGCCAATCCGAGCTGAAATTCCGATTCGTGTGCATTAAGAAACAGATCAGCAAGAAGGTGGCCACTCTTGGTGTCCATGGGGATGCCTACCTCTTACCCCTAAACCTTATACCGACAACGTTCACCCCTGAGTGTTCAGTGCAGGTGATGTTTGCTTCAGATGGTCCATGGCGCAGGATCAGCTCTCAGCGTCGCCGCTAACGGCCTACTGAGCGCTGCCAAGGACTCCCTCTCCCAGCTGGGGGACAAACTAAAGCCCCATGTTGCTGCCCTCTCCACCCAGATCGGCCAGCTGACACAGCACGGCACCAACGCCATCAATGCCATGAAGGACGCCATGACCGACATCTTCAGTAAGTTTCCTCCACCAAGGAGACAGTTCTGTTTAACACCGTTCTCAGTATTACAGTTATACCGGGCGGTGAGGTAGCCTACTTCTTGGATATTACTAAAAGCGGCCTTAAACCAGGTCACTCACTCAGTAATGTTATATCACACCATCCCAGGTTATTGTTTGAGAAACGCCCGAAGACTCAAAGGTTAGGCGTTCGGAAGCCAACAAGAAGGGTATAATGCTGACAGACAAACATCATAGTCGGATCATATTTAGAATTCCAGACCATAATCTGCTGATCCCGGCGTTTTTAAGGGACGTAACTCTTTACTGAAATCTTGGCACCTTCGACCTCGCGATAAACGTTGATCCATCATTACAGGGCCATATTAGCAATTAGCATGGCTTTTCATTTTATTTACAGTCACATTGCTTATTTGGGTTCATACATCTGCGATCATTGTTCTATCCTATTTTTGATGACATGTTTCACTGTTCATGCCATGTATTTCAGGTCAGACCATGCAGAACGCTAAGCCAGCCCTCAACAACATTGCCTAGACTGCTGCCAGCGCCGGTCAGACCATTGTTAAACAGCTCGGTGGTACCCAGTGAAGGGCAAAACCTTTACGACATTAAACACGCTTGCTATAACGACCTTGTCTGGTGTTTGTTTCTTGCTAGTGAAGGTTAAAACCGTCACGACTTTAAATACACTCGCTTTAACGACCGTGTCTGGTGTTTGTTTCTTGCTAGTGAAAGTTAAAACTGTCACGACTTTAAATACACTCCCTATAACGAGCGTGTCTGGTGTTTGTTTCTTGCCAGTGAAGGTTGAAACTGTCACGACTTTAAATACACTCGCTATAACGACCGTGTCTGGTGTTTGCCTCTTCTTAGGTCATAGCCACAAGGTCAAGATCCGTGTCAGGCTTTTCAGAAACATGAGTCAGTGAGAAGGAAGTCTTTACGTCATTGATACATTAGCCAAGATCAGGATAATTTTAGAATTGTACAGAATTTTCAGATATTGGTCTGAAAGTTATCAGATGACTTCATATGAATGAGAATTAGGCTGTCACATCGCAACACAAGGGTAATGCTAAATGTGGTTTAAAAACTTGAGTTATGATCTTTCAATGATATTCTTTCTAAAATATGTACGTTAGCCAGTCTTTTTTGAAGTGGAAAATTACAATTGGACGCATACAGAAATAGAGTTATCGCTCTTGTTTGGGCTAGTTTTTAGGTTCATACGCCAATATGGAATCCTTCCAGACAGGCACGAGTAATCGGACGGACTTGCACGAGCTTGACACGGATGGTGTTTAACCCAATCGGCTCACCTCTGTCACAACAACCACAGAGCTCGATCTGGCTATTTTTGTATTCGCTATATTTAGATCTCTCTATTCACCATAAACATTTCACACAATCGGCCGTCATGTTCGACGAATTATATACATAGTAATCGATTGGTGTTTGATTTACAACCAAACCATTCAATCACTACAACACTGCTGCCATTAACATAGGTTACGGAAAAAGCCGAGTGAACTCTTCGACCAGGTTTCTGGGGACTTCGCTAATCCGGAATCCCCGCGGTAACAGTCAATTTGTACACATGTACAGTAAGAAAGTACACATGTACAGTAAGAAAGTACACATGTACAGTAGGAAACTACACCCTAAGTTTACACACAAACACTTGCAGGTCAGAGATGCAACGGTTATCTTGCCACACCTTATCTCTGTCTCAGTCGGTCCCCAACATGTGCTCAGGTTCTCTGGGAGCGGCTGCAGTCCGCGTGCCGTGCCATGTAGGTCACGTGATTACTCTGAATAAAGTCCACGGATTATATAATTATTTTAGACTTGTACAACACGCAGTCTCAGGTAAGTGTCAACGTCCATCTTTGTACACGAAGGTTTTTTGTTTGTTTGATAACACCACACTCCGCCATCTCCAAGCTATATGACGGCGGTCTGTATATAATCGAGTCTGGACCAGACAATCCGGTGACTGACAAAATGAGCATCGATCTACGTAAATGGGTTACGATGACATGCATCAACCAAGTCAGATAGCCTGACCACCCGATCCCGTTAGTCGCCTCTTACGACATGTTTAGTCGCGATTTACGGCAAGCATGGTTTGCTGAAGATAAGGTTTGCCCCGGCCGTATGTGTGGCTCTCCAGATACTTGAGGGGGACTGGTCAGATCATTAGTAGAAGTACCATATTGGGAAATAATTATTTTACACGTGACCAAATGGCGAACGCCTATTGGATAGGACAGGAGCATCTGCAGGGCCCCGGTCCATAAAGCGAGGGGCGGTCGGGTAGCCAAGTGGTTAAAGCGTTCGCTCGTCACGCCGAAGACCCAGGTTCGATTCCCGAAATGGGAACAATGTGTGAAGCCCATTTCTGGTGGCCCCCGCCGTGATGTTGCTGGAATATTGCTGAAGGTGGCGTAAAATCACACTCACTCACTCACCCATAAAGCGACCTTTGAGCAGAGGTAATGGTAACCCCTACTTTAACTTACGATAGTCGTAGCGCTAAGGTCGCTTTGTGGAACTGGACCCTGCACACTACTTGCAATGTTCAACCATTATTGTTCAAAATACACAAAAGCGGTTTTTCATGGGGTTTCTTAAGATAAGAATTTATTATAGAAAATTCCATCAAATTCTATTGCGGTTTAAAATGTTTTCACATATTTCCACAACATCAGGATGGTGGCATAGTGAATGCATATTGTGTGTTTTCGTATGATAAATATCAGACATTAGCATAGAAATATGCATTTTGCGAACATTTGGTTGTATATTTTAGTCCTATTAATTCTATTTACGATATGGAAACACACGCGGGAAATATTCTATCTTTCAGCCATACCTCCCTAAGCATAATATATTCTAGGCATACCTTTCTAAGCAAATATACTTTGAGCTACCGCGTATGAATATAATGATACGGGAAAGGTCCCCCTTTATTATGTAGATCCTAATGATAAGCAGTCATATTTGTTTACATAAACACTCACACATCGGGAAACCTTTCTCTAGAATTGGAACTATATGTGATATATTTTCAAGCAATCAGACACTGATGGAGAGAGCTTTACAAAATAGTTCCCTCAATGTTACCTCATGTCGATATTTATCGGATCATGACAAATCTATTATAAAAGAATTCGGGGATATTAAAAAAATAACGGATGATTATAGAAACACAGAGAGGTATCGAGTGACGGTAATAGATGGATAAGAAATAGGAAGGACTAAGTGTAATATGACAATCAACAGAACAATGGCGGTGTATTGTGATGGTTCAAATAACCAGGAAAGACGAGAGGGTGTGTAGAAAAAAGAATGAACGTTTGAGATGACTTGATCAATAATAGGTCATGCCTCCACGATTGGTCGAATATTTCTTTATACGGAGTGACTATGGCATAGTCTGAACAAATCTCCTAATGACAATTTGAGAGAGTCTTGTCCACACCTCTTGCAGCGCCTGACCCAGTTCGGCTGACGTAGCGGATGACCTTTGACGTTGACGGACACGTCTCCTGATCATGCTCCAAACGTGTTCTGTGGGGGAAGGATAAGGACTTAGATCTGGCCATTGCATGTTGGTGGTGTTTTGCTGCAGCATGAAGTCAGTTGCAATACGTGCACGGCGAGCACGAACGTTATCGTCTTGAATATAAACCGAGGACGAGCAGACGGCACAGCTATCGGCGCCAGTATGTCGTCTCGGTAGTAATGTCCAGTGACCCTTCCATGGACAATATGCAGTGGCGTTCTGGCAGTCATAGCGATCCCGCCCCATATCATTACAAACCCAGCCCAAAGTATGTCATGTGACCTTACATGCCATACGTCAGGACGCCCCCAGACACGTTCACGCCTGTCCAGAAAGTCCAAAACATAACGCGAGACCATCTTCGATTCCTCCAGTTCTACGCTCTAAATACCACTGGAGTCTGGATTGAATGTGTCGGTTTAATGGTGAATCAACACGTGGTCGTAAAGCATGTAGACGATTTCTAATCGTCTGATCAGTATCTTGAACTTCTGTGGTCTGGCGGAAGCGAACAGCGATTGTATTGGATGTTTGGGCTCGATTTCGTAAAGCCTGGATTCTTATTTATCTACCCTGGACATTTGTTGCTGACCTAGACCGCCCTGTGCGAGGCCGATTATTAACAACTTGTGTCTGCGGAAACCTATTCCAAAGTCTGCAGATCACAGACACATTGAACATATTGGTTCATATATATTACATAACATATTAAGGTTCTACCCGTTTGAAGCATGCTAATAGTCCTTAGGTGTTCATCAGTTGTAGACGACGCATTCCCAATCTGATCCCAAATAATGCCTTCAAGCAAGAGCAGATACGTTACGTGATACTATTGGTAATGGAAATCAACTAGACTAATGGCTCAGAGGGAGTTGATGGCATTTCTCTGAAGTATCAAACCAAGAAAGACCCCCTACCCACCTACACGGAGGAAATGCATGGTTCAACTATAATAGGGGGACACATGTGGCCCAGTCGTCTAAGGCGCCGCGATTCGCTGTGCAGAGTTGCGTACCGTGGACACGCTAGAAACCTATGATTGTGGGTTCGAATCCCGGTTCGCCCCGATTATGTTTCTAGGTATGTCAGCACCATACCCGTGCTCGTGAGTTTCACCGAAGTGATAAACGTCTGAGACCTGCATCACTTCGGGCTTTCCTCCCACATTAAGCTGACACGCCGCGATATAACTGTAATACTGTTAAAAGCGGCGTTAAACACAACTCACTCACTCATCGGTATATCCCCTTTTGCCTTTGAGTTTTGATCTGTGATTCGTGTCCCAGCAAGATGGATCCGAAATCCATTCTCCACGAATCTTGATGCATGAGCCATCATCAGTTGTCCTTCACTCGTTTGTTTGTTTGTTTGTTGTTTCCGCCAATATTCAGCTACATGACTGCGGTCTGTAAATATTCGAACCCAACAATCCGGTCCGGACAATCCAGTGATTGACAGAATGAGCATTGATCGCCGTAACTGGGATACTATGACATGCAATCGACCAGGCCTGATCACCCGAATCATTTAGTCTTACGGCAAGCATAGGTTGCTGGGGGACCTCTATTCTTACCGGAATCCCGACCGGTGCCGTCATGCGTGACCCGCCACCCAGAATGCGGGATCTGTAGGCCATGGTTCTCGGAACATGATACATGATTCGCTCAACATGATGTCGATAGCATCAGATATAAACTGTAATTTACATGCTGATCCAGATGGATCGATTTAATATTTTAGAAACCTTTATGGGAATCAAGTTCACTAAATGCAAATGTTTAAAAAGACTATATGTACGAGTAACTCAACAAAATTACAAAACGAAATTGTCAAGGGGAAAAATTAAACATTCCTTTTCAAAAGTTGAACTCTCTCATGCGTATGGATGGGGATTCCGGTATATGTGTCACTGTTGCATGTTTCTTTCAATTAACAATAGTTTCATGATAGTTCATACGATTCTCGGTGGAAAATGTGGTTTTGGTTCTATATTTCCTTTTATTTTTGGACTGTAGAACAACAAACATGAAGGTTTTCACTGTGGTGCTGACCTTGAGCCTGAGCGTCGCCCTTGGACAGAATGTCCTGACAGGCATCAAGGATGACCTGCAAACCATTGGTGGTGCTATCAAACAGACAGGAAAGGACTTCGTACCTTATGCTGCCACCGTTGGCAAAGACCTGCTCGGAACCCTCAAGAACGACACTCTCAAGATGGTCGGGAGCACAATCACCGGTAAAACACGAGCATGCATGAAACCATTGAAGTACTACGACGACAATATGAACACTAAAACGTTAAACACATAACCACTGGAGTGTCCTTGTAAGCACCAAAGGGGTATTTTAAGCACTACTGCCTTGCTGTTAGCACTGCAACCTCACTGTCGACACTACAAGGGTATTTAAGCACGGCTGCGTAAATGTAATCACTGCAACCTCACTGTATGCACTACAATGGTACTTAAGCACTGCCCCTTAAATGTGAGGACTGCAACCTCACTGTAGGTACCATAAGGGTATGTACGCACCATTGTGTAAATGTAAGCACTGCAACTTCACTTTAGGCACCACATGGGTATTTAAGCACTGCCGCGTAAATGCAAGGACTGCAGCCTCACTATCGGTACCACAAGGGTATGTATGCACCATTGTGTAAATGTGAGGTCTGCACCCTCGCCGTAGGCACCTAAAGGATATTTAAGCATTTGTACGTACATGTAAGTACTGCAACCTCACTGCAGGTACAACAAGGGTATTTAAGTACTTCGCATAAACGTAAGCATTGTCACGACTCTCTAAGCACCGCAGTGGTAATGCCGGCCCTTTGATAGAAACGTAACCCCTGCAATGGTTATGTATTGACCTCGTGTTCATGCAAGCACAAACACGGTAGTATAAGCGCCAATGTGGCAATATAAGGCCTGCAACGATGGCATACACACCAAAAGAGTGGTATATTCACTTCACCTATAATGAAGACGCTATAACCGTAATAATGTACCACAATAGCAATATAAACACTAAAATAATACATACACAATGAACCTTCCGTCATCACCAAAACGGTAAAGTAGGCATATCAATTTTAAACTATACACTAACATACATCACAGTTTGAATCTCACTGTAAATTCAGTGCAAAATAAATTTCACATATTCAAATACATTTCTTTTTCAGATCTTCTTGGACAGGCTCTTTCTAAACTGTTCCATATCGGCAAGAGAGATACGCTGTATGTATAGGCGATATTCTGTAACTTATTATGATCCACTTCTTTGAGAGGCTTTTAGAAGTTGGAGACTAAGTAGGATAAGATAGATGGATGAAAAGCTCCTTTATCACAATTAGGAGCGACGTTTCGGTGTAGGTTCTAACCCCGTTATCAAGTAAGTGACTTACTAACTATTAGGATCCACACAATTGCTTCCAGATTTGCATGCTTCCGAAGTGGTTCAAAAGTTCGATATCAGAAAAGATACAAATTATTTATGTTTTCCGATAAAACTCACCAATACACTCCAAACACTCCATCCTCAGAAAAAACTCTATAAGAAAGAAGCACAGAATGTCATGGCATATATTTACTAAAGGAGTTGTCGAAAGGTTTGATGTCGGATAGAAAGGTTATCTGCTTTAATGTTCTGTTACAAATGCACTCAACCCATAATAAACCTAAAAACGTAACTGCGTAAATGTTGGAAAGTACAAGGAGAAAATGAACGCACAGTACCGTTATATAGATTTTATCACCCCATAGCACAGAAAGGGATGTGTTGACCGGCCTCAAGGATGACCTGCAAACCATCGGCGGTGCTATCAAACAGACAGGAAAGGACTTCGTACCATATGCTGCCGGCGTAGGCAATGACCTTCTCGAAACCGTCAAGAACGACACTCTCAAGATGGTCGGGAACACAATCTCCGGTAAGACAAGCACATACGTGAAACTACTTAAACACAATGACAAATAAGCACTAAAACGTCAACACATAATCAATATAAAGTGTCCCTAAAAAGTAACGCAGTTGTATTTAGGCACTACTTCGTAAATGTAAGGACTGGAACCTCACTGTAGGTATCTCGAGGGTATTTAAGCACTGCAACCTCACTGTACATAGGTACCAAAAGGGTATTCAAGCACTGCAACCTCACTGTAGGTACCACAAGGGTATTTAAGCACTGCAACCTCAATGTAGGTACCACAAGGGTATTTAAGCACTGCAATATCACTGTATGCTCCACACTGGTATGTAAAAACTTCAACCTCACTGTAGGCACCACAAGGGTTCTTAAGCACTTCAGCCTCACTGTAGGCACCACAAGGGTATGTAAACACTTCAGCCTCACTGTAGGTACCACACGGGTATGTAAACACTTCAGCCTCATTGTAGGTGCCACAAGGGTATTTCAGCATTTCAACCTCACTGTAGGTACCACAAGGGTATTTAAGCACTTCAACCTCACTGTGGGTACCAAAAGGGTATTTAAGCACTTTAACCGCACTGTAGGCACCACAGTGGTATTTAAGCACCAATTCGTTAATGTGAGGACTGTAACCTCACTGTAGGCACCACAAAGATATTTAAGCATTACTGCGTCAGCCTGTTCACGCCTCGCAAAGCCCCGCAGTGGCAATGTTACCACTGCACTGGTTGAGTACAGACCCAGCTATCATACAAGCACTGCAACGGTGATATAATGTAAACATACCGTAAACTAAACACAACATACATGACAGTTTGTATTTCATGATAAATTTCAGTGCAAAACACATTTCACGTACACAAATTCATTTCTTTTCAGATCTTCTTGGAGAGGCTATTTCGAAACTGTTCCACATCGGCAAGAGAGATACGATGTATGTATAGACGATATTCTGTAACTAATTACGATCCACCCTCGATCTTTAGGATGTTTTCATCATCATAATCATCATCATCATCATCATCATCATCATCATCATCTTCATCATAATACCTCAGTCAGAGAGTAACATACAGAGCAATAAGATAAAGATATTTAGGCAGTTGCTCCAAAGTTTGATCTCGGATAGAAAACTTAATTCATTAAATGTTACATCTTCTCTTTCACAACATCTCTAAGCCATCAACTTAATTGTGTACATTTTTTGATATATAAAGGGCTTCTTTTACCAAATGTCTGCACCAAAGCCAATTCATTTTAACACAGCACAGAAAGAGATGTGTTGACCGGCCTCAAGGATGACCTGCAAACCATCGGCGGTGCTATCAAACAGACAGGAAAGGACTTCGTACCTTATGCTGCCGGTGTAGGCAAAGATCTTCTCGGAACCCTCAAGAATGACACCCTAAAGATGCTTGGGGGCACAATTTCAGGTAAAACACGTGCATGTGTGAACACTACGACGACACAAAATCCGTTAACACGTCCACTTGAGTGCACATCGAAAAACACGTTTAACGTATGCTCATTCATTCATTTCAGACCTTCTTCAGAATGCTCTGGCAAACCTGTTCCACGGCAAGAGGGAGCTGTATGTATAGATAACATCCGATACTACTGATCCACTGGGTTTCCATCACTTTGTTTGTATTACGTATATGAATTACTTAGGGAGCATTTCAAATGGTCGATTTCCGAATAAAATTTTAGTTATTTAAATCTCCATACCCCTAAACGTTAATTGAAAATACTGACTTACTAAATGACTTTCTTTCGGAAGCAAAACAGACAGAACCATTGTGTACTTTCTGTCCACCCACAGCTCAGAAAGGGGTGTCCTGGAAGATCTTCTTGGAAGCATGGACAACAAAACCATCAGCTTGGTCGGAGACACAATCGCTGGTAAAACACGTACACACAATTATTTAAAGACCATGACAGGAAAATGCGAAATAAGGCGTAAATAAATAATGTTTCAACGTTCGTGTAAGTCCCATAGGGGTGTATAAACAATACAACAGTAATGCATGCACAGGGAACCATAGTTAATCAGTCAGTCCGTAATGTAAATAAATAGAGCGCTGAAGTGTAAGTGTAAGACACGTGGTCTTGTGCACAGCGCACAAGTAATGCAGGCACAGGGAACCATAGTTAATCAGTCAGTCCGTAATGTAAATAAATAGAGCGCTGAAGTGTAAGTGTAAAAGAAGTGGTCTTGTGCACAGCGCACAAGTAATGCAGGCACAGGGAACCATAGGTAATCAGTCAGTCCGTAATGTAAATAAATAGAGCGCTGAAGTGTAAGTGTAACAGAAGTGGTCTTGTGCACAGCGCACAAGTAATGCAGGCACAGAGAACCATAGGTAATCAGTCAGTCCGTAATGTAAACAAATATAGCGCTGAAGTGTAAGACACGTGGTCTTCTGCACAGCGCACAGGTCAGGAATCAGGTGAAGTTAAGCAACGTTGGTAAGCAGAGTGTCCTTGGATGGGTGAGCTTGGCTCCTGAGCGTTTCTGGGACTTCGGTCCTGCCCCACCCTGAAGCACATGTAACACATGTGGTGTCTCCTTGTGCAAGTGATTTTGTCCTTAATGTGCCTCCATATATCCAGTAAAGAATGGGTATCCGGTAGGATGAGATGTCAATGTAGTTGTTAACCTTCTAGCACCTCACAGGCACCTTGGGTTGTATACTCCCCGGGGAGCTGAGAATGATTTTTGAGTGCATTCTGATCCATTGACCGGAGTTAAGATGACTACTAAGCGCTTAGATCAAGCTTCTGCATGGAGTACGGAGCTGTGTAAATATAGATTATTATTAGTAGTATTATTAGTATTATTATAAGTATTATTATTATTATTACTGAACTCTACAACTTTTGAAGTTTGAATATATTATTGTAATGAAAACAACACATATTTACCGATTAAGTTCTGTTTCAGACCTTATTGGGCAAGCTATTGAAAACCTGTTCCAAGGCAAGATAGAGCTGTATGTATAGATATCCGATACTTATTATGGTCCAATCTTTTGTTTCCAGATACATGTTCTACTTAGGGAGTAGTTCAAAACCTAAATGTCTAATTCAAAGCGTAGTTACTAAAAATATCAGACAACCACCACATAGCCCATACCCCTGAAGATTTGAACATTTTGACAGAGTAAAAGATATTAAAAAATCACAGTACATACATTTGATCAAATCACAGCACAGAAAGGGATGTGCTGACGGGCCTGAAAGACGAATTTCAGACCATCGGTGGTGCTATCAAAGAGACGGGAAAGGACTTCGTACCATTTGCTGCCAGCGTGGGTAAAGATCTTCTTGGAACCCTCCAGAACGACACTCTCAAGATGGTCGGAGGCACACTCACCGGTATGACGTGCAAGCTCGATTTTATTTCAGCACCACGACAACACAGTGCCTACTAAGACGTTAACACATAATCATAACAAGCTTTCATGTAAGCATCACAATAGGAAGTGAACATTACTACAAAAATGTAAATAAAAGTGACAAAACCCTTTCTATAATGATAGTGAGTGAGTGAGTTGGGTTTAACGCCGCATTTAACAGTATTTCAGTTATATCACGGCGTGTCAGCTTAATGTGGGAGGAAAGCCCGAAGTGATGCAGGTCTCAGACGTTTACCACTTCGGTGAAACCCACGATCACGGGTACGGTGCTGACAAACTTAGAAACATAATCGGGGCGAACTGGGATTCGAAACCATAATCATAGGTTCCTGGCGTGCCCAAGGGACGCAACTCTGCACAACGAATCGCGGCACCTTGGACGACTTGGCCAGATGACATTTACTTTCATTTTTGTATATATTGTCCTGAATCTTTGATGATAGAGGCGTAAATGTATCGGTGGTCTCTTGTTTAGTAAAAAATCCCTCTAGATCAAAGAATATTCCCCATGGTAATGTTGGATAATGATGTTTAGAAAGGAAAATTGGACAGAATTGAACTTGGTTCTTATCTGAGATTGCAAACACTGAAGCAAATTATTTGAGGTTTGGGGAATCCACATGGTATATATTCCATTTGCCTCAAATACTATTTGTGAATGTCAGGAACGTCTTTCTTCAATTGTATTTAGAATTTGGGTTAATCTTTGAGACGGGGATTTGGTTGCTCATTTGCTGGATCCTGTGATAGCTCTTTCTTGTGTCTTACTATGACACTGTTGTCACCTCAGCTTTACTGTTAGCATGACAAGGGCAGTGTACATATTTCGACAGAACTGTAAGCACTACAACGTTAATGCAAGGACTGGAACACTACAACGGTAATATAAGCGTCTCAGTGATGGCATACACACCAAAAGAGTGGTATATTCACTTCACCTATAATGTATACACTATAACCGTAATAATGTACCACAATAGCAATATAAACACTAAAATAATACATACACAATGAACCTTCCGTCATCACCAAAACGGTAAAATAGGCATATCAATTTTAAACTATACACTAACATACATCACAGTTTGAATCTCACTGTAAATTCAGTGCAAAATAAATTTCACATATTCAAATAAATTTCTTTTTCAGATCTTCTTGGACAGGCTCTTTCTAAACTGTTCCATATCGGCAAGAGAGATACGCTGTATGTATAGGCGATATTCTGTAACTTATTATGATCCACTTCTTTGAGAGGCTTTCAGAAGTTGGAGACTAAGTCGGATAAGATAGATGGATGAAAAACTCCTTTATCACAATTAGGAGCGACGTTTCGGTGTAGGTTCTAACACCGTTATCAAGTAAGTGACTTACTAACTATTAGGATCCACACAATTGCTTCCAGATTTGCATCCTTCCGAAGTGGTTCAAAAGTTCGATATCAGAAAAGATACAAATTACTTATGTTTTCTGACAAAACTCACCAATACACTCCAGACACTCCATCCTCAGAAAAAACTCTATAAGAAAGAAGCACAGAATGTCATGACATATATTTACTAAAGGAGTTGTCGAAAGGTTTGATGTCGGATAGAAAGGTTATCTGCTTTAATGTTCTGTTACAAATGCACTCAACCCATAAACCTAAAAACGTAACTGCGTAAATGTTGGAAAGTACAAGGAGAAAATGAACGCACAGTACCGTTATATAGATTTTATCACCCCACAGCACAGAAAGGGATGTGTTGACCGGCCTCAAGGATGACCTGCAAACCATCGGCGGTGCTATCAAACAGACAGGAAAGGACTTCGTACCATATGCTGCCGGCGTAGGCAAAGACCTTCTCGAAACCGTCAAAAACGACACTCTCAAGATGGTCGGGAACACAATCTCCGGTAAGACAAGCACATACGTGAAACAACTTAAACACAATGACAAATAAGCACTGAAACGTTAACACATAATCATTAAAAGTGTCCCTAAAAAGCAACGCAGTGGTATTTAGGCACTACTTCGTAAATGTAAGGACTGCAACCTCACTGTAGGTATCTCAAGGGTATTTAAGCACTGCAACCTCACTGTACATAGGTACCAAAAGGGTATTTAAGCACTTCAACCTCACTGTAGGTACCACAAGGGTATTCAAGCACTGCAACCTTACTGTAGGTACCACAAGGGTATTTAAGCACTAAAACCTCACTGTAGGTACCACAAGGGTATTTAAGCACTGCAATATCACTGTATGCACCACAAGGGTATGTAAACACTTCAGCCTCACTGTAGGTACCACAAGGGTATGTAAACACTTCAGCCTCACTGTAGGCACCACAAGGGTATGTAAACACTTCAGCCTCACTGTAGGTACCACAAGGGTATGTAAACACTTCAGCCTCACTGTAGGCACCACAAGGGTACTTAAGCACTTCAACCTCACTGTAGGCACCATAAGGGTACTTAAGCACTTCAACCTCACTGTAGGCACCACAAGGGTATGTAAACACTTCAGCCTCACTTTAGGTACCACAAGGGTATTTAAGCACCGCAACCTCACTGTAGGCACCACAAGGGTATGTAAACACTTCAGCCTCACTGTAGGCACCACAAGGGTATGTAAACACTTCAGCATCACTGTAGGTACCACAAGGGTATGTAAACACTTCAGCCTCACTGTAGGCACCACAAGGGTACTTAAGCACTTCAACCTCACTGTAGGCACCACAAGGGTATGTAAACACTTCAGCCTAACTGAAGGTACCACAAGGGTATTTAAGCACCGCAACCTCACTGTAGGCACCACAAGGGTTCTTAAGCACTGCAACCTCACTGTAGGCACCACAAGGGTATGTAAACACTTCAGCCTCACTGTAGGTAGCACAAGGGTATGTAAACACTTCAGCCTCATTGTAGGTACCACAAGGGTATTTAAGCACAAAAACCTCACTGTAGGTACCACAAGGGTATTTAAGCACTTCAACCTCACTGTAGGTACCACAAGGGTATTTAAGCACTTCAGCCTCACTGTAGGTACCACAAGGGTATTTAAGCACTTCAACCGCACTGTAGGTACCACAAGGGTATGTAAACACTTCACCCTCACTGTAGGCACCACAAGGGTATGTAAACACTTCAGCCTCACTGTAGGCACCACAAGGGTACATAAGCACTTCAACCTCACTGTAGGCACCACAAGGGTACTTAAGCACTTCAACCTCACTGTAGGCACCACAAGGGTATGTAAACACTTCAGCCTCACTGTAGGTACCACAAGGGTATTTAAGCAACGCAACCTCACTGTAGGCACCACAAGGGTTCTTAAGCACTGGAACCTCACTGTAGGCACCACAAGGGTATGTAAACACTTCAGCCTAACTGAAGGTACCACAAGGGTATGTAAACACTTCAGCCTCACTGTAGGTACCACAAGGGTATGTAAACACTTCAGCCTCACTGTAGGTACCACAAGGGTATTTAAGCACTAAAACCTCACTGTAGGCACCACAAGGGTATGTAAACACTTCAGCCTAACTGAAGGTACCACAAGGGTATTTAAGCACCGCAACCTCACTGTAGGCACCACAAGGGTTCTTAAGCACTGCAACCTCACTGTAGGCACCACAAGGGTATGTAAACACTTCAGCCTCACTGTAGGTAGCACAAGGGTATGTAAACACTTCAGCCTCACTGTAGGTACCACAAGGGTATTTAAGCACAAAAACCTCACTGTAGGTACCACAAGGGTATTTAAGCACTTCAACCTCACTGTAGGTACCACAAGGGTATTTAAGCACTTCAGCCTCACTGTAGGTACCACAAGGGTATTTAAGCACTTCAACCGCACTGTAGGTACCACAAGGGTATGTAAACACTTCACCCTCACTGTAGGCACCACAAGGGTATGTAAACACTTCAGCCTCACTGTAGGCACCACAAGGGTACATAAGCACTTCAACCTCACTGTAGGCACCACAAGGGTACTTAAGCACTTCAACCTCACTGTAGGCACCACAAGGGTATGTAAACACTTCAGCCTCACTGTAGGTACCACAAGGGTATTTAAGCACCGCAACCTCACTGTAGGCACCACAAGGGTTCTTAAGCACTGGAACCTCACTGTAGGCACCACAAGGGTATGTAAACACTTCAGCCTCACTGTAGGTACCACAAGGGTATGTAAACACTTCAGCCTCACTGTAGGCACCACAAGGGTATGTAAACACTTCAGCCTAACTGAAGGTACCACAAGGGTACTTAAGCACTTCAACCTCACTGTAGGCACCACAAGGGTATGTAAACACTTCAGCCTCATTGTAGGTACCACAAGGGTATTTAAGCACAAAAACCTCACTGTAGGCACCACAAGGGTATGTAAACACTTCAACCTCACTGTAGGCACGACAAGGGTATTTAAGCACCGCAACCTCACTGTAGGCACCACAAGGGTTCTGAAGCACCGCAACCTCACTGTAGGCACCACAAGGGTATGTAAACACTTCAGCCTCACTGTAGGTACCACAAGGGTATGTAAACACTTCAGCCTCATTGTAGGTACCACAAGGGTATTTAAGCACAAAAACCTCACTGTAGGTACCACAAGGGTATTTAAGCACTTCAACCTCACTGTAGGTACCACAAGGGTATTTAAACACTTCAACCGCACTGTAGGCACCACAGTGGTATTAAAGCACCAATTCCTTAATGTGAGGACTGTAACCTCACTGTAGGCACCACAAAGATATTTAAACATTACTGCGTCAGCCTGTTCACGCCTCGCAAAGCCCCCCAGTGGCAATGTTACCACTGCACTGGTTGAGTACAGACCCAGCTATCATACAAACACTGCAACGGTGATATAATGTAAACATACCGTAAACTAAACACAACATACATGACAGATTGTATTTCATGATAAATTTCAGTGCAAAACACATTTCACGTACACAAATTCATTTCTTTTCAGATCTTCTTGGAGAGGCTATTTCGAAACTGTTCCACATCGGCAAGAGAGATACAATGTATGTATAGTCGATATTCTGTAACTAATTACGATTCACCCTTGATCTTTAGGATGTTTTTATCATCATCATCATCATCATCATCATCATCTTCATCATCATACCATCTCTGTCAGAAAGTAACATACAGAGCAATAAGATAAACATATTTAGGGAGTTGCTCCAAAGTTTGATCTCGGATAGAAAACTTAATTCATTAAATGATACATCTTCTCTTTCACAACCTCTCTAAGCCATCAACTTAATTGTGTACATTGTTTGATATATAAAGGGCTTCTTTTACCAAATCTCTGCACCAAAGCCAATTCATTTTAACACAGCACAGAAAGAGATGTGTTGACCGGCCTCAAGGATGACCTGCAAACTATCGGCGGTGCTATCAAACAGACAGGAAAGGACTTCGTACCTTATGCTGCCGGTGTAGGCAAAGATCTTCTCGGAACCCTCAAGAATGACACCCTAAAGATGCTTGGGGGCACAATTTCAGGTAAAACACGTGCATGTGTGAACACTACGACGACACAAAATCCGTTAACACGTCCACTTGAGTGCACATCGAAATAGAAAACGCGGACGCGAACGCCAAAGCCAACGCCAACGCCAATGCCAACGCCAACGCCAACGGCAGAGATATTTTGCCGAAACAGATTCCATTGGGCGTAAAATGCAATATAGCAGTGTTAATGATATGAATATATAATTGAAAATCAGTCATGACAGCAGGTTTTCGCGGAAAGTGTAAATATGCATTGCTATACCGGTAGCACATCCGCTCAAAATATTTGCATAAAATGAGTAGCTGTTTGTTGCCTTATTCGCACTCTGTGTAAAATAATCGAGTCTTGACAAGACAATCAAGTGACGAACCAGACAGAGTTCATTCACTGATATTGTTGACACTAAAACAGATTTGTTAAAATTGAATTACGTCTGCTGTGTACACGTGTAGAACCGTTTAAGAAATAAGTTCGTTTTCAACACAGTGAGGATTAAGCACAACAGTGGTATCGTAAGCACAACGGCAATAATGTACGTGTATTCACCGAATGTTACCGTAATCACCAAAATATGAGCACTGCAGTAATGTAAGCACTGCATCATTTATGTATGCACTGCAACGTTAAAGTGCACACTTCTCGCTATAAATGAGAATATACAAATTCTGTGAAAAAAACACGTTTTACGTATGCTCATTCATATCTTTTTCAGACCTTCTTCAGAATGCTCTTTCAAACCTGTTCCACGGCAAGAGAGAGCTGTATGTATAGATAACATCCGATACTACTGATCCACTGGGTTTCCATCACTTTGTTTGTATTACGTATATGAATTACTTAGGGAGCAGTTCAAATGGTCGATTTCCGAATAAAATTTTAGTTATTTAAATCTCCATACCCCTAAACGTTAATTGAAAATACTGACTTACTAAATGACATTCTTTCGGATTCAAAACATACAGAACCAATGTGTACATTCTGTCCATCCACAGCTCAGAAAGGGGTGTCCTGGAAGATCTTCTTGGAAGCATGGACAACAAAATCATCGGCTTGGTCGGAGACACAATCGCTGGTAAAACACGTACACACAATTATTTCAAGACCATGACAAGAAAATGCGAAATAAGGCGTAAATACATAATGTTTCAACGTTCGTGTAAGTCCCACAGGGGTGTATAAACAATACAACAGTAATGCATGCACAGGGAACCATAGTTAATCAGTCAGTCCGTAATGTAAATAAATAGAGCGCTGAAGTGTAAGACACATGGTTTGTGCACAGCGCACAGGTCACGAATCAGGTGAAGTTAATCAACGTTGGTAGTAGAGTGTCCTTGGATGGGTGAGCTGGGCTCCTGAGAGTTTCTGGGACTTCGGTCCCCACCCTGAAGCACACGTACCACATGTGGTGTCTTCCTGTGCAAGTGATTTTGTCCTTAATGTGCCTCTGTATATCCAGCAAAGAATGTCAATGTGGTTGTTAACCTTCTAGCACCTCACAGGCACCTTGGGTTGTATACTCCCCGGGGAGCTGAGAATGACTGTTGAGTGCTTTCAGATCCATTGACCGGGGTTAAGATGACTATGCGCTTAGATCAAGCTTCTGCATGGAGTACGGAGCCATATAAATAGACTATTATTATTAAAACATCACACATTTACCGATATAGTTCTGTTTCAGACCTTATTGGGCAAGCTGTTGAAAACCTGTTCCAAGGCAAGATAGAGCTGTATGTACAGACGATACTTATTATGGTCCAATCTTTTGTTTCCAGATTGCCATTCTCCTGATTGTATTAAGTATATGTTCTACTTAGGGAGTAGTTCAAAAACTAAATGTCTAAATCAAAGCGTAGTTACTAAAAATGTCAGACAACCACCACATAGCCAATACCCCTGAAGATTTTAAGATTTTGACATAGTAAAAGATATTAAAAAATCACAGTACATACATTTGATCAAATCACAGCACAGAAAGGGATGTGCTGACGGGCCTGAAAGACGAATTTCAGACCATCGGTGGTGCTATCAAGGAGACGGGAAAGGACTTCGTACCATTTGCTGCCAGCGTGGACAAAGATCTTCTTGGAACCCTCCAGAACGACACTCTCAAGATGCTCGGAGGTAACACTCACCGGAATGACGTGCAAGCTCGATTGTATTTCAGCACCACGACAACACAATGCATACTAAGACGTTAACACATAATCATAACAAGCTTTCATGTAAGCATCACAATAGGAAGTGAACATTACTACAAAATGTAAATACAAGTGAAAAAACCCTTTCTATAATGATAGTGAGTGAGTGAGTTGGGTTTAACGCCGCTTTTAACAGTATTCAAGTTAAATCGCGGCGTGTCAGCTTAATGTGGGAGGAAAGCCCGAAGAGATGAAGGTCTCAGACGTTTACCACTTCGGTGAAACCCACGATTACGGGTATGGTGCTGACAAACTTAGAAACATAATCGGGGCGAACTGGGATTCGAAACCACAATCCTAGGTTCCTGGCGTGCCCAAGGGACGCAACTCTGCACAACGAATCGCGGCGCCTTGGATGACTGGGCCAGATGACATTTACTTTCAATTTTGTATATATTGTCCTGAATCTTTGATGATAGAGGCGTAAATGTATCGGTGATGTCTTGTTTAGTAAAATATCCCTCTAGATCAAAGAATATGTCCTAAAAACATTCCCCATGGTAATGTTGGATAATGATGTTTAGAAAGGAAAAATTATATTCTTTGACAGAATTGAAATTGGTTCTTATCTGAGATTGCAAACACTGAAGCAAATCCTTTGAGGTTTGGGGAATCCACATGGTATATATTCCATTTGCCTCAAATACTTTTTGTGAATGTCAGGAACGTCTTTCTTCAATTGTATTTAGGATTTGGGTTAATCTTTGAGACGGGGATTTGGTTGCTCATTTGCTGGATCCTGTGATAGCTCTTTCTTGTGTCTTACTATGACACCTCAGCTTTACTGTTAGCATGACAAGGGCAGTGTACATATTTCGACAGAACTGTAAGCACTACAACGTTAATGCAAGGACTGGAACACTACAACGGTAATATAAGCGTCTCAGCGGTGGCATACAAACTAAAACAGAAAAATATATTCATGGCGGCGATCACCACAATGTTAATATGGGCACTACAACGGTAACATAAAAACAAAAAGGTATAAAATATGCACAACGAACCTTATGTAATAGAAAAAAACGGTAATGTAAACATATACGATAATGTTAACAGTACAACCATGACGGTTTATATAAAAAAATAATGAAAAGACACATTTTCAAGCATACCCATTATTTTTTGTTTCAGACCTTATCGGGCCTGTTCTTGATAACCTGTTCCATGGCAAGAGTGAGCTGTATGTATTAACACTCCGGCACTTAATATGATCCTCCTTTTAGCTTCCGGTTTCCGATCCTTCTGCTTGTATCAAGTATATGTGATCCGTGAAGATCCGGGGTAGAAAAGGTCGTCAGCAACCCATGCTTGCCGTAAAAGGTGACTATGCTTGTCGTAAGAGGCGACTAACCGAATCGGGTGGTCAGACTCGCTGACTTGGTTGATGCATGTCATCGATTCAAATTGCGTGGATCGATGCTCATGATATTAATCACTGGATTGTCTGGTCCAAACTCGATTATTTACAGACCGCCGTCATATGGCTGGAATATTGCTGAGTGCGGCGTAAAACAACAAACAAACAAAACAAACAAACAAGTATATGGTCTACTTAGGTCTACACCCTAATTGGATAATGTTGACTTACTCAGAGAGATTCTTTCCAAATAAAATGACAGTGCCAAAACATATATATATATCTGATCAACCCATAGCTCAAAAAGGGATCTCCTGACCGGCATCAAGAACGATCTTCAAACCATCGGCGGTGCTATCAAAGAGACAGGAAAGGACTTCGTACCATTTGCCGCCAACGTGGGTAAAGATCTTCTCGGAACCCTCCAGAACGACACTCTGAAGATGCTCGGAGGCACACTCACCGGTAAAACACGTGCACGAACGAAACTATTTCAACACCACGACAACACAATGCATACTAAGATGTTCACACATAATCATTCAAACGTTCATGTGATCATCACAATGGAATACAAACGTTACAAAGTTAATGTAAATGTTACCGACAAATCACTTTGCATATTCATGAAACAGTTCTGCTGACAGCGTAGTACATTGAGCGATTCCGACTATGTCATAAGCAAGTGTTTACGAATCATTATCAAACAGTGATGATACGAGGTGTTCACGAAAAGGTGCGCGTATCCCACGACCCAACACCCCCGTCACAAACACATGCAAAGGCAAGTATGTGTTCACCTGAACTATCATGTGAACTTGTGGTACAAGTCAAAACAATCCAGTGATTAATATCATGAGCATCGATCCACGCAATGGGGATCGATGACATGCATCAACCTTAGTCAGCGATACTGACCACCCGATCCCATTAGTCGCCTTTTACGACAAGCATAGTCACCTTTTACGGCAAGCATGGGTTGCTGAAGACCTATTCTACCCCGGATCTTCACGAGTCTTCAGTTCATGGGGATCAGTTCCTGGGGATACCTAACCTAAATGGTATATTCCCAAATTGCAAATGTATGCTATTTATAAGAAAGTCCAGCATTTAACACAATTTTCTCTCCGCACACTCCAACTTACAGTTACTTTCAATTTTGACAAATTGTCCTGAACCTTTGATTACAGCGATAGAAGTATATCCATGGTCACCACGTTTAGTCATAAATTCCCCATGGACAAAGGAGTGAATTTTCCCTTAAGTTTGTCATGTGGTTTAGTCATGTTTAGAGTGGAAACGCATTGGAAGAATTGAACTTGGTTCTATTCTGAGATTGCAAACATTCAAGCAAATCCTTTGTATTTTTGATTAAGTAAATATATATTGTCAATTCAAGAGAATGCCTAATCTAGATTATCCGTCGAAAGTAATTCCATTTGGGGAGAAGGGCAAAATGGTTGTGAAAATTATATGAATGGACTACTGAAAATTAGTGATGATACAAGGTGTTCGCGAAATAGTAAGCATGTTCTGTCTTACCCGTAGCACACACCATTCACACAGTTTGCAGAAACAAATACACTGAATGAACATGTTAACGCCAATCATTATTAATAGCACTGCAGTGGTAATGTAAACACTACAACATAATATAAGAACTACATCAGTAATACATGCACTCCAACGACAATGTTATACCTACAAAGGGAAAATATACACAGAAACAGTATATACACAATGAATCTACAAATGCCATCACGAAAACGGTAAAGTAAACATATCAACGTTAAAGTATTCATGAAAACCTTAACAGTTCATAAAAACGTCATGAAAATATAAATTTTACGCATACCCATTCATTTTTTGTTTCAGACCTTATTGGCAATGCTCTTGCAAACCTGTTCCATGGCAAGAGAGAGCTGTATGTATAAACATTATCCGATACTTTTTGTGGTCCACCTTTAAGCTTCCAGTTTTCCATTCTTCTGATTGTATCAAGTATATGTTTTGCTTTGGGAGCAGGTCAAAAGATCGATGTCTGATAAAAAACTTAATTGTTTAAGGTTTCGGAGACACAAACATACAACTCACACCCCTTAACCCTAATACGTTCATATGGACACAATCAGAGAGATCCTTTCCGAAAATATGACAGTGACAAAGCATATATATCTGATCAACCCATAGCTCAAAAAAGGATCTCCTGACCGGCATAAAGAACGACCTACAGACCATCGGCGGTGCTATCAAAGAGACAGGAAAGGACTTCGTACCATTTGCCGCCAACGTGGGCAAAGATCTTCTCGGAACCCTCCAGAACGATACTCTGAAGATGCTCGGAGGCACACTCACCGGTAAAACACGTGCACGAACGATACTATTTCAACACCACGACAACACAATGCACACTAAGACGTTAACACACTATTATTCAATCTTTCAAGTTATTAGGCATCAGAACTGAACATAAACATCACTATGTAAATGGAAGGGTAAGCTATAAAACTGAAAGTAGAGTACATTGCTCGTTTCCGACTATATCATAAGCTTGTCTTTCCAAATCGTTATCAAACAGTTATAATACATTGTAAAAAGAGAAGCTTATCCTGCCTCTCCACCGGTTCCCGTCACAAAATCTTGCAAAGGCTTAACTGCCTTCCCTTGAAAAAACCATTTGGTTCACGTCAAAATAGAGAATTTTACCGGACATTGTTTTGGTCACTGAATCCCCAAAGTTGTAATTGTATTCTCCGTGTCTATCATGAAACGTTTTGAAAGGCATATTCAAGGCATTGAATGTTGTAACCCTGATCAACTTCCTTTTGAGCATCATTCGTCTGGCCAGCGCTCTTTGAAATCTCCGTAGAAATACCATTCTCGATTGAACTTCAAAAGCTGTGAAATGTAGACACCACCATAGGCTGGATCTACTGGAAGCTTGCTTGACATAAAGGGGCAGCTGATTATTGGAAGTTGAAGTCATCCTTCCTATAAAGTCTTGTTAGAATTTTTCGTCACTCTGAATCGTTGTGCATAGATCTAAATTATCTAATTGGAGTTGTGGAATTATTGCTCGACATAACGGGGAAGTTAACAATTGTAATATTGAAATCGTATCTTCTGTCTTGTTCGGCAAAGTCAAAACAAAGAAATTTATCCATGAAATTTAGCTTAAGCTTCAGGTCTATCGATAATCCGATATCCTTCAATGACGGCGAAATTCTCTTCATCTGAGGGAGGTCGGGTAGCTTAGTGGTTAAAGTGTTCGCTCGTCACGCCGAAGACCCGGGTTCGAATCCCGACATGGGTACAATGTGTAAAGCCCATGTTTGTTGTCCCCCGCCGTGATATTGCTGGAATATTGCTAAAAGCGGTGTAAAACCATACTCACTCACTACTCTCTTCATCTGATTTACCCACCTGAACAATAAATAAAGGCAACGAGTGGGACGGCATGTTTCAAATGCAGCCTTATGCATATAGATTCAAAGTGACAAAATAAATGTCCATAATACTGAAATAAATAATCGCGACAAAACCCTTTCCATATTCACAAGAAATCTCGATTGTACCTTTCCGGCTATATCATGAACATGTGAAATAGTGATGATAACAAGTGTTTGCAAAAAGGTGACCGTATCCTCCCCTCCCGTAGTCCCAAGCGCAAAGGCGCAAAGGCAAGTAAATCGTTCACCTGAAAAGACACAGGAACACATGGTACAAGTCAAAATAGGGAATTGCATCGGACACATTTTTTGTCACTGTGAAAATGCCCTCCACAACTTTGTGACAGGTTTACTGAAGCACCTCAACGGTATTATAAACACAATGTACATTATGTCACGACTAAAACGGTAAAGTTAACATCAGCGTTAATGACTGGAACAGAACCTTGACGATTTTAATGGAAACACACATTTCACGCGTACCCATTCATTTCTGTTTCAGACCTTATTGGGAATGCTCTGGCAAACCTGTTCCACGGCAAGAGAGAGTTGTATGTATATATAATAGCCGATACTTATTATGATCCACCAATAGCTTCAGTCATTTTGATTGTATCAGGTATATGTTATGTTGAGGCAGAAGTTCGATGTCTGTTGTAAACTTAATTGCACCCTAAAAGTAATTGTGAAACTTTTGATGGTCCGTAATGCGATTCTTTCAGAAGGTAAAATACACATATTTTATAAAACATAGAACAAAAGATGATGTCCTGATCGGCCTCAAGGATGACCTGCAAACCATTGGCGGTGCTATCAAACAGACAGGAAAGGACTTCACTGTTCTTGGCACCTTACCCACCTTGAAAGACATCCTTTCGCAAACAGGTATATGAAGACGTTAGTTTGATTTCACGGAATGTTTTAAAAACGATAGGTTCATACATAAATTATGTCTGAATATAATGGTTTTCAGCGTCGTGTTGATACAATGTGTTTGATGATAAAAAGTAACATAGACACTGGTACGAGTGAAGAATAAGAAAATCACCCACTGTCTTTTACTGCAAACAATATCAACAGTAATAAGTTGTATAAGGTGTCGCAATTTGCGTCCCGTGGCTGTCAGGATCTGCTTCTAGTGAGTTCGGATCACAGATTCTCTTCGATAACTATGCTTCGTCTGTACGCCCATACCTGAACCAGTTGGTGTCACTTAACACTCCATGACGCATAACCCAATCATTCACACATCTGTGTGCTTTCTTTACTTCCAGTCCTGAACCAATGGTCCGATCTGATTCACCTTGATCCGATTGAATGGGGTAGTTAAACCCGTTGATGTAGTGTGTTCAAGAATAAACATACCATACCTCTCTAGCTTGTGTGTTAAGCGTTTCAAGTTTGTAATAGAAACTTGAATAGTCATGCGCCATTTTTGAGATAAACCTGTTGCCTTTGTAATTTGGAGGTATGTTTCCTTAATTCTTCAATGACACTGAAGAATGCTTGATTCTGATTGGTAAAAATCAGGTATTAAAAGCCATTAAATACTTCAATGCCTCCGTAATCAAGTGTAATTGCACGTTTTCAAAGCGTTCTTGTCGTCAAGGTAAGATGGAGATAAACTTACTGTGTTTTAAAATTTGAGGTCCCCGCACTGTAGACTCGACAACTCTTATTTAGTTATTAGACTTCTAATTTCACAACTCAAGTAGATTTATCTCTAAATTCGACACCTGAAAATTTCGAAAGGGTTTACTTATCGGAATATTTTGAGGTTTCAAATCAACGATCACATACCTCCCAATATTATTGAATAGGCTAACGCCAGAATTATAACAGTGGTATTACAACAGCATATAAACGGGTGACTGGTTGAATCTATGCTGGAATCAGATGGGTACGACGACACACTAAAACAGACAGGTGCCTGATAAGAATTGTTTGATTGGCCTGAATTTGAAGTTGACAGATGATAAAGTAGACACAATTTATGTATAACAGTACCAGTAATTAAAGAAGTTGTTATCAATAAATTGTGTCTACTTTATCCTGACAAGAAATTGATCCCTATTGTGTCCACCCCATTTCTCTGCATTTATTATCAACATAAGTATTGATAGTACTGACTACGGCAGATTTTTATATCGCCTTTTATCGCTGGCAGTGCCACTTGTTTTTCGTTATGTTTAATTCTGAAACCATTTCAAGAAGACAAGACAATTTCATGGTTTGAGAAGTGATTCAGGTCTCAGACGTTTACCACTTTGGTGAAACCCACAAGCACGGGTATTCTGGTGAAAAACCTTGAAACATAATAGGGACGAACCGGGATTCGAACCCACAATCATAGGTTTCTGGCGTGCCCAAGGAACTCAACTCTGCACAGCGAATTGCGGCGCCTTAGACGACTGGGCCACCCGTGCCTCCCAAACTTCCGTCAATCAGCGTGAAAGGATTACCCAATGAGAATGAAAGGATTAAAACTCCTAAATATATCTGTATGGTATTAAGCATTCACTACCAATTTCATCTAATAATCAACCTTATCTTGTCAAAAGCACAAAATCTAATGCGATGCTGTCTTCATGGTCACACCCGGTGTGACATGTGTCATTCAAGGAACACGCACACCCTACGTGGCCAAACACACGTCTCCAATAAAGTTATAATTGTTTACACAAACACATCACCAACTATGGACATTTGAAATACTTGGGGGAATCGATTTAAAGCCCGGGGTCATTTTGGCCAGCGTGGGTGAAGTGCTCTGGGCCTAAGGGGAGTGAGTGAGTGAGTGAGTTTGGTTCAACGCCGCTTTTAACAGTATTCCAGTTATATCACGGCGTGTCAGCTTACTTTGGGAGGAAAGCCCACGGACGTTTTTACAATACATGACAACGACTAATAACAAGCTACCTGTTTGTAACATTGTCCTGCTCAGGTTACATGCCATGTTTCAGCTAACTTATAACTCTGATTATGGGAGGTGGGTTAGCCTAGTGGTTAAAGCGTTCGGTCGTCACGCCGAAGACCTGGGTTCGATTCCCAACATGGGTACAATTTGTGAAGCTGTTTCTGGTGTCCCCCGCTAAAAGCGGCGTTAAACCATACTCACTCACTATGACTTTGACAAACGCTACTAGACAATGACGATCCAGGAAGAAAGATGTCAACAGGCGTGACAAAGAACTACTTCACCTTGACCTTATGATATTACGCATGCGCGCTGACAAAATTTAAAACCCACAAACGGGAGTATTTACCTTACAGCTGAACAATACTGCATAATACAAACAGTCGAATCGTTTTTCAACAGAAATTGTGCTATTGATACAAATAATCCTGAAAAAAACTCGAACCGATGCCGTGAAAATCAGAATAGGAATACATATTTCGCTATGCACTCTTGCGCTAACACGGTACCCATTGAACTTCAACGGCGTAAGGTAGTCAGTATGAATGTTATATTTCATTATGTACAGATATTTAAATGATATGATTATTCTGGGTCCTTAAACAACGATCTCGCAGGCTTTTCACAGACACTAAATCCTCACAAACAGCTGAGACGTTGGTTTCTATCATTCAAAAGTGTGCTTAAGAAAGTATTAGGCTAAACGAACACTAGTAATGACAATAGTGACAGTGCTGGTTTTGCGTCTTCACCATGGTTTGATGCAGATTGTAAACACATATAAAACAAACAATAAGAAGTTTTCTATAGTTTCAGAGTTACCGTCGACATTGACACGTTGATGATCTTTCATAATACCCGTAATACATTTAGGGAAACATGTCGTGGTGAAATGGGCGTATTCAAAGTAAATTTATTAATGTATCAACATGACCACTGGGTCATTATTACAACACAAAACAACAACAATGCAAAAGAATTTTGTCTGTATGGAGAAAAAGAAAACTTACATTGACAGGTAAAATTACAGTTAATATACCTCTAGCCCTTTCAACATTAGTTCATATATTTTCAGTTCCACTAAATCCGCCCAGTACGTTTATCATTAAATTCAACGAATCATTTTATACACATATGTGGGATGTTAAACAAGACAAAATTAAAAGATCAACGTTAAAAAGAAAGTATGAAAAAGCGGACTCAGAAAGGCTGAGGTTAAAACCTTTATTGATTCTTTGAAGCTGTCATTTTTTAGAATTGTGTAAAATATACCCAGTTTTATAATAACCCTTGCAGTTTCCCCATTAGCATTAAGCTCACTATTCCTTCTCGGGGCAAATATTAAAAAATGTTATTAAAATAAATAATCCCGACTGGAAGGATGTATTGACTACCTGGGAAGTATACTATTGGTACCACAAAACAGACTTGCTGATCGCAACTGAAATACTATCTGAATCTATTTGGCTTAATCCTCAATTCTGAAACCCTTATTTCAAAATACAAAAAAATGGTTTAAGAATGGAATAATACTATAAAGGGTATTTGTAAAACCGATGGAGGATTTAAATCATTCAGTGAGTCACTTTACAGGAACAATACTGGAATATAATCAGATGCTACTGAATATTCCAAAACAATGGAAAGTAACGATTGTCGATACCAAGTTAAACATCACTAACCAAACCATAAACTCAACCCAGTCGGATTTGCTGTCATCAACAAAAGGGTCGAGATTATTCTGTGTAAAACCTATCACCACAGCAATCCTCCAGTGTTTTATAAAACATGAGAACATATCCTTAATATTATAGCTAAAATGGATAGAATTATCATTGAACCGCCCGGATGTTATCAGAAATGAACGGGTCACTGCAACTTTATAATGCCCTCATATTGCTTGACGACGGGCCATTGAGTTTCAATAGTGACGTCATCTGGTTTGTTCTATGACGTTTCCATATTTGTAAAAGTGGATCAGTGACATTCGTTGTGTGTTGATTGCAGTAAAAGTTTCAAAACCGATATTGTTGTTTATTTTTATTTGATAACAAATTCTATCCTCAGTCTTTCCAACTGCCTCCTTCGTCGGGCTGTTAATGGAAGACCTCGGGCTTCCCCAAATGATAATGCCCCGAAAAATAGCGTTACCCTTATGTCAGTATCTCCAAGAAAGATTTTAGAAAATGTACCAGAGATGTTAAGTTACTAGATATTCAGTACAGATTCATTCACATAGTTATTGATGCTAAACAGGCATTGTTGAAAATGAAACTTGTAGATCAGGATTTATCTTTTTTTATAAGTGTGAACAAAAAAGTCTATAAATGTGTACATCAAATGTTAACATGTAAAAATTAAAAAAATTCTCAACTTATATTCAGCAAGTAGTATTTCCCTTATTGGAACATTTCATGAGATATTATTTTGTTTCAATAATTCTAGCAATTTACATATGGCAGTAAGGTTATAACAACAATATTTGAGTTGTGGTATTTTCCCGGATGAATGGTCAAAAAACATTATATTTCCTATCCATTAGAAGGAGAGTGTTCATAATGTACATATCATTGGGGTATCACTCTTATGGGTATTTTTTGGCAAAATATTTAGGCAGGTCCTAAATAACAGGTTGGAACAGTTTGTCGATAAGCTCCAGAACGTCAAGGCTGAATGAAGACTGTAGAAACAGAGCCACTGGACGTCTGGAAGCTGGAGAAAGTCAGACATCAGTAGCCAGGCACTTTAACGTGAGGCAGAGTACCATTTCTCGTCTGTGGCAGCGCTACAGACTCCACAACTCTACAAGAGATCGACCGAGAAGTGGAAGACCCAGGGTCACAACTGCAGTGCAGGACCGCTTCATCCGGGTTTTGCATCTTCGCAACCGGACAATCAGTGCAGCATACATAGCTAACAATGTTCCTGGTCTTCGTTGAGTCTCAGCGCAAACCATCAGAAATCGTCTAAGACAGCATAGGATACGGCCAATGAGACCATATACAGCGCCCGTTCTGAGGCAACATCATCGTCGGGCACGTCTGCAATGGAGCAGAAATGTTCGACCATGGACCCTAGTGCACTGGAGAAGGATATGGTTCAGTAATGAGTCGCGGTTCATGCTGTATCGCTATGATGGTAGGATGCGTGTCTACAGACGGAGAAATGAACGCTACACTCGACACTGTATTCATGAAGTCGACCGATACGGCGGTGGATGTGTCATGATGTGGGCAGGCATATCCGTGAATGGAAGGAGAGATCTGGTGCCCGTGCAGGGAAATTTAACTGTTGTACGCTACCGTGATGAAATCCTTCAACGTCACCTTATTCCCGCCATTGACGTCAGAAGAGAGAGTTCCAGCAAGACAACGCAAGACCGCATACTGCATATGTTACCATGGATTATCTTGCCCACAACAATGTTACTGTGCTGCGATGGCCCTCCAAATCGCCTGAT